AGGCGTGGTTGGCACCTTCGCCCTGAGCACTGGGTCCCCACCCCGACCTGATTTCCTCTTGGTGCAGGTGGAGTATTACTTGCTGTCACAGTACGTGTCGCCGGCCGACTTCCCGTTCCGACACATCTTTCTGGGCCATGGAGACCACACGCTGGGCGCCCTGCTCGACCACCTGCAGCTGCTGCGCTCCAACAGTTCCGGGGCCTCCCCCAAGTTGTCCCAGGCTCTAGGCTTCCAGGAGAGCCGCTTCCGGCGCCAGCTGGCCCTGCTCACCTGGACGTTACAGGGGGCAGCCAATGCGCTTGGAGGAGACGTCTGGAACATTGATAACAACTTCTGAGGCCTGCCTGGAACCCCACAGGCTCCTGACCCCTGCTGAAGAATCTTGATCTCCCTGCTTGAGTGGTGCGGGGCGAAGGAGGTGACCCATGTACCTCTCGCTGCGACCGATTTCTCATTAACCCATCCGATCTCTCCACCGGCTCTGCGCAGACACCCACACACCCCTGGTCCTACAGTGCAGATGAATAGCTCATCCGTAGTGTGACAGTGAGCAGCATCCTTTGGGGCCATCACAGCCCCCTTTCCATTTCAGGAGCAGGGTCCCCAGTACCCAGAGCCCACTCTGAGAGCTTTGCTGGGCTCTGGGACCTGGCCAGTTCCCTTAATGGGAGAGACAGCTTTAGGGCCAACAGGTGGTCTGTGGCGGTTTGGATGGCAATAAACCACCTGGTTATATGTTATTCATAAGCACTTTATGCTTTCTCCTGTCCCCCTTCCCCGCCTACCCCTCCTTTGAGACCTGGGGAACAGAAGGGGTCAGAGAGGATATATGTAGGACACAGCCTCCACTGGGAGCATTGAACTGTGTGTTACCTTGGGAAACTGCCTGAGCAAATGATGAAGGCCTGTTGTGGTTCTCCGAAGACCACCATGGGGCTGGGCTGGAGGACTGATATTGGAACCAGGGACAGCTACATTATTTGCAAGGCCTGGTGCACAGTGAAAATGAGGGACTTTTGTTTAAAAAGTGGAAACAGCGATTTATTCTCCCACAGTCTCCACCTGTCTGGGTGTTTTGTCACACTCTGGCATGGAGATGCTTAGCGTGAGTGCAGACCCTCCCAGGTACCCAGGCTTCTACTCCAGTTTGGTAAAAAGAACCTGTGTGCCTAACCCTGACCTTCCCTGTTCTTGTGCCCAGTCCCCTGCTGGGAAAGGAAGATGGCAGCTCTTCCCTGGTAGGGGCAGAGGGACAGCAAAGACTCACCCCTGGGAAGCAAGTGTCTCAGCATAAACTCCAGCTCACTTCACTTCTCTCTCTCTTTTTTAAAGGTATTTATAGTTTTATTCTACTACTACTTTTAAATATATCAAGCAATTCTACATATATAGAAGGACTAGATATTCCACATGAGTACTTGTCCTTAATGCACACAACAACTGGTAAATAAAATTGCACATGTAGCAATGGTTTCCTTCTAAAACATAAATTCAAGATGATATTAAGAATTTCCAGCCAGGCATGGTGGTGCACACCTGTAATCCCAGTGGCTCTGGAGACTGAGGCAGGAAGATTTGAGAGTTCAAAGCCAGCCTCGGCAACAGTAAGGCACTAAGCAACTCGGTGAGACCCTGTCTCTAAATAAAATATAAAATAGTTCTGGGGATATGGCTCAGTGGTTGAGTGCCCCTGAGTTCAATTCCTGGTGTACACACAAAGAATTTCCAGGGGCTGGAGTTGTAGCTCCATGGTAGAGCGCTTGCCTAGCACGTGCGAGGCACTGTGTTCAATCCTTAGTGCCACATACAAATAATAATAATAATAATTTTAAAAAGAATTTCCAGGTGGCTAGCTCAGGAGGAGAACTTGCAGAAGGATCACAAGTTCAAAACCAGCCTCAGCAACGAGGCCCTAAGCAACTTAGCAAGACCCTGTCTCCAAATAAAAATATAAAAGGGCTGGGGATGTGGCTCCACGATTAAGCACCCCTGGGTTCAATCCTCAGTACCAGAAAAAAAAAAAAAAATTTTTTTTCAGACAGCAACTTCAGAGCATAAACTCCAAATAGTGGGTCCCCTTATGAGAATGGGCCCTAGAAGACTAATGGTCACACACCTGCTCGATTGGCCCTGCCTTGGACATCTGTCCCTGGAATTGCCTTTGGCCAATCTTTGTCCACTGACAAAGTCTGAGCTACAAGAGGGCAGGGGATTGTAAGTGCCGATGCCTTTTTCTTTTTAGTCACAGCTTCTGGAGGCATTGTAGTGGCCTGACTCTTTTTCCCTGGGCAGTGATATAATCTTAGGGCCCATCTCCTGGTCATCTGCTCTCAGCATGGCAAGAGACACCTCACCTAGCTCCTCAGGACACTGGGAAGTAGTGGCCGCTGAGGTTAAGGTCTGGGATGTTCCTTCTGGGTTCAGGATGAAACTGCCCTCTTTAGCCCCACGGGCCTGACTTGGTGGATTCTGGGGACTCTAAATCTCAACTATTTGCTTCCCAGACATACACTCCAGAGAAAACTTCCTAAATGGCCCCACTTCTTCCCCGTGTCTCTTTGTTCCTTACAGCAGATGAGCCTACTTCCTAATCCCTGAAACCTGAAAAAGAATGTCATCTTGCATGATGATGTGACTAAGATTTAAGAGATGGGGAGTGTTATGAGCTCAATTTGTGCCTCACAAATTCACTTTTTTTTTTTTTCTTTTCCTCAGGGATTGAACATAGGGCCACTCAACCACTAAGCCACTTCTCCAGCCCTTTTTTGAATTTTATTTAGAGACAGGGTCTCACTGAGTTGCTTAGGGTTTGCTAAGTTACTGAGGCAGGCTTTGAATTTGTGATCCTCCTGCCTCAGCCTTCAGAGCCACTGGGATTACAGGCATGCATCATCACATGTCTGGCCCAAATTCACATCTTAAAGCCCTAACTCCTGGAACCTCAGAATGTGACAATATTTGGATATAGGAACTTTAAAGAAGTGACTAAGTTAAAATCCAATCCAATCTCACTGGTGTCCTCATAAGAGGAAATCTGGACAAGCAAAGAGGCACCAGGGATAGAGCACTGGCCTAGCAGAGGTGAGGCCCCGGGTTCCATTCCCAGCAGTGGGAAAGAGAAAAAAAAAAAAAAAAAAAGATGGAGGGAGAGGCCATGAGCCAAGGAACACAGGTGGACTCTCTAAGCTGGAAAAGAGCAAGGAAACAGATGCTCCCTGTTGCTTCTAAGAGAAATGAATCCCTGCAACCACCTTAATTTTAGCTCCAGAAGCCTCATTTTGGATTTTTGGCCCCTAGAACTGTAAGAAAATAAATTTATGCTTTTGTTTTTTCTGATGATGGAGATTGAACTCCAGACCTCACACATGCTAAGTGTCCACTCATGCACTTGAGCTACACCCCCAATCCCAATTTATGCTGTTTAAGGCCACTATCATGATGTGTAACAGCAGCTACAGGAAATGAACACTTTCCCGTTCCAACTGCTGTAAGCTCAGTATTGTTTTCTAAAAAGTTTGCTTAAAAGGCATTCTATGTCCCAAGCCCATCTGGCCTCCATCCCATCCCTTCACAGCTGCATTCTGGAAGCTTTCTGGGTCCCACTGGCCATCAGTCCTCTTTACAGGTACATACCACACAAGGACCATAATCTGTGCTCGACTGCATTTTGGGGGCCCAGGCCCAGCCCCTACAGTGCTAATGGCAATCATCCACACACATGTAACTCGGTGAGAGGGGTTTCCTGAGCCTGGCAGGTGCGCCTTGGCACACATTGGGTCCATTTTCTGTACACTTATGGGGCCACACCCCACTATGGCCAGCTCAGGATATGGGAGGGACAAGACTTCTAGGGCAAAACTGAAACAACAGATCACCTTCCAGGAGTGTACCAGACTCAGTCTGTCTAATAAACATTTACTGATTCTTTGTCCCTAACCAACAATCTGCCCAGTGTCACAGAGTCCCCCTCTTCCTTTCTCCCCTCTCCTTTAGCATCTGAAGGAGGGCAGGTGGGCTGGAAGCTACTTTTTGAGGATCTGGTTTTATATTTTCCTGTGTTGTAGTTTCTCCTGCCTGATTAGAGTGAGGTTATATCAGGCAATGCCATTTCTCACCATCTTGGCAGGGACCTTGGTGTTTCTTATTCATGGGAGTTGAAATATTAAAGGAGAGATAAAATGAGAACAGATAAAGGTCACAGAGGCAGAAAAGGATTCTAGGGACTGTAAGCATGTGGGTAACCCAGGCAAGAGATCCTTCTGGTGAGATGTGGGTTTTGCATCAGGCAGGATTAGGTGACATTTCTGTTTGTTTCATGTTAAGTTAGGCAGTTTGGCTTGGAGGACAGGATCCTATGGTAGGGCAAAAGATTTTTTTTTTTTTTTTTTTTTTTTTGTGATGATAGTGTGACACTCCCAGCCTAAAGAGTAACTTAAGAATCAACTTGGAGCCAGGTGTGGTGGCTCACACCTGTAATCCCAGCTTCTCAGGAGGCTGAGGCAAGAGGATCATAAATTCAAAGCCAGATTAAGCAAAAGCAAGGTGCTAAGCAACTCAGTGAGACCCTGTCTCTAAATAAAATACAAAATAGTGCTGGAGATGTGGCTCAGTAGTTAAGTGCCCCTGGGTTCAATCCCTGGTACCAAAAAAGAAAAAGAAAGAAAAGAATCAACTTGGTAAAGTGGGAGAGTATATGCTTAACATGCACAAAGACCTGGGTTCAGTCTTCAGCACCACATGCTCACACACAAGAGAATCAACTTGCCCAATGCCCTAATTTTAGAGGTATAGAAACCAAAGCTCTGAAAACTAAATGACTTGCTCAAGGTCACATGGTCTTTTGGAGGAAACACCAGGATTAGCTCAGGTCTTCTAAATTCCCACTAGGCTTCTTCACTGCCCTGAGCTTCTGGATCCCCTGGGAATGGGGGTGAGAGGAACAGAAAGATATCAGGGCATCAAGGAAGGAGTGGAAAGCTAGGAGCAAGTACCCTACATTTCTCATTTAAAAATCCATTTTATTCAATTTGGAAAATGAGTACAAATCCCTGGGTATTTTTCTTGGTGGGGTTAGGAAACAGATGGGAAGAAGAGGATTGAGGCAAGGTACGTGCATCACAGTGGCTGCCTCAGGTCCCTGCCTGGGGAGGTGACAGTAGGGTGGGGTTGAGCAGGGAGCTCAGGTCCGGAGGAACACCATGGTGAGGAGGCCTGGAGGTAGAAAAACAAAGAGAAAGTCCCAGGAGTAGCCCTCCCCGGGCCCCTGCTCCCCTTTCTCTACAAGTGGGCCTGGGTCACACTACTACTTGCTCACCTAAGACATAGGCTGCCACCAACTTTTGTCCCAGGGAGACGTGCAGGACTTGTGGCAGTTGGCTGCCAAGTTCATCCTGGAGTGGGAGCAGCAGGAAGGCCACAGAGACAATGCCCGTCATCAAAAAGAGGAGGAAGGAGCTGGTAGCCAGTTGCTGGCGGGGGTCTGGGAAACAAGGCTCATCAGCATTGACAGTCCCCTAACCCTCTCAACTTTGGTCCCTTTCTTCCCCCTGCCTCAATACTGTCTTCCATACACAATGCAGACCAGCAGAATTGCTCCATAGAGGTCTGTCGTTGAACTGAACTGAGCTGACACCTGATAGGAAGTATGATAGAGCTAAGGAAGAACTCTTTCCTCTAAGTAGAAACCAGAAACCAGAGAAATTGTAGTCTTTCTTCCCCTTAATACAAAATCTCAATTAGAAGTGTTTTCATCAAAAGGCAAAAGACTGGACCAGGAAACTTCTTCAAATTCAATTTAGCTCATTTCCAGAATAATGCTAGTTCCTCCCTCCAGACAGAATTCAAGAATCCCCATCTTCCAACTCACTCTCCTGCAAGTGTCTTGTCATGGGTGGTGCTGTCCAGGCAGGAGGCTCTGGGTTGGGTGTTGGCTGGGGCGGTCCCTGAAGTTCAAGGGGATAGGCTGGGGCCCGCAGAACTGAGGTGATGTCTTTGCGTCCCACCACTCTGCCCTCGGTCCCTTCCTCAGAAAGCTCAATGCGGAAGCGGTCCTGGATGTCATAGTGGCTGGGAATGGGGGCCACATGGCGAATCACACTAGCTCCAAGACAGGAGAGAAGCCCATTGGGAGGAAGTGAATGAGAAGTAGAAATTTAAGTAAATCCAGGTCTCCTCCCCAGGAACCTTTCCCTTAGGGACACAGAAGGTGGGGAAAACAATTTCAGGAAAACCCGGTCTCAGACCTAAGATAATAAGTGGCAGCGACCCCTGGCTTCCATCAGCCTCCCCAACTCCCAACTCACATGTCAATGCAGGACTGAGGCTTCACATATCCTTCTGCATCAAAAACCGTGTATTTGGCAGGTGCTGTACACAGGACTGTGGGATAAAGGCATACAAAGAGACCCTAAATAAGTCTGGCCTCGGTGTAACCAGCGTCCCCTCTGCCTTCTATTCCAGCCAGGCATGGTTAGGATTCTTCTAGTCGCCAAGAGTGGGCATCTGATCCTGCTCATCTGACTCTTCCAGCCCAACAACCAGCCCATTGAAGGACAACCCCTCAATGTCCTTCCACCAGCCCCCAGATCCCAAGCACGAGATGCCCATTCCTTCACCTCGGAAGCGAAGCGCGGTTCCCGTGGGGTTATAGAGGGTCAGCAGCTGCCGGGGTCCACTCCTTTGGTCCGCCCTGAATACTAGATCCGGGGGAAAGACGAGGACCGGGACAACGGATCCTGAGGGAGGAGGGGCGCCCCGGGACCCCCGCCCAGGGGCCCCCGGACCCACCAGCTCCTGGTCCTGGGGCGCCCCACGGCGCATGCAGGCTCTTGGCGGTCGGACATCCGAGGGCAGAGCTCAGGGGGCAGGGCCTGGAGTCTGTGGCTGGGGGCGCGAGGGACGAAAGAGGACAAGACTAGATCGTTGCGTAAGGCCTGAATTGATTCCCTTGCCACCTCGAAACCCGCTGGATGCGGCTCTCGCAGACCCAGGCCCAGGCCCCCAAAACCTCCCCTTCACAGTTCTGGTCCCGCCCCCAAGCTTCACCTCGACGGCCACGCCTACCTCGCCAAACCCTGCCCCTCGTGGCTCCCAATCCGGTCCTTCTCTTCGGGCCCGGGTCGCAATCTCCTTATCCTGGCCCCGCTTCAGACCCCGCCTCTTCCGGGCTCTTCAGGGCTCCCGCCCAGTCTCTCTGGCCAGACTCCGCCCGCCACAGCGGCCACATCTGGAACTACCCTTTACGCCTCCGGCTCTCCGGGACACCTGTATCTACGATCCCTCCCCGACCTCGGCAGTGCCCGTCGAGCTTCCGTCTCCGAACGGCCGCTCGTGCTATGATGATCACCTTGTGGTCAAAGCACCTGCCAATCAGATGTGGCCAGACTGAGGGCGCCATCTTCCGGAGAGTCCCTTTTCACACTTCCGCCGTACGACCTCTCTCATTGGTCATGACAGCCTCATTTCCGCCTAACTTTACCGTGATTGGTGCCCTTAAAGACCTCACAGACACCTGGCGCAGGTGATTGGATTGATCCTAGTGACGTAAGACTTTTAGGGCATCTCTTATTCTCACTGGAGTCCCAAAGTAACTCTGGGAGGCGGAGCGGGGCTGAGTGCAGGGCTTTGTTCCTTCCTCCACCCTCAGACTGCCCAGATCGCTAGATCTCTTCCCTTCCTGCTCGGGCCTGGGAAATCACTTATATTTGCTCAGGTTATTAAGACTCGCCGAATCCTGCCGCTTACGTCATCCCATCGAATCTTTAACTTCTTTTTGCAGACAAGGACACGGCCTTGACAAGGTAAAGAATTTCACCGTACGCCACTCATTATTAGTGGAGGAAAAACTAAGTTGATCTTTTGGGAAAGCCTTCCTGGAGCTCCTTACAACAAGTAGGACCCCGCCTCTCTTTGTCCCCTTATACTTTTGCTTCCTTTTATAAACACATATAGTGCCACTTGACATTTTTCTCTCCTCCAATAGAATGTTCTTATTATAGAAAAGACTTTTGTTTTCTCCTGTATCTTTAAACAGTTCTTAGCATTTGGAATTAATAAATGAATAAGAGACTAGGATGAACTTTGATCAGAAGTCTGATTAAGATATGGAAGAGAATTCTGGAAAAAGGAAACAGTAAAGCCTGAAGAAGTGTATTAGAAGTAGGCAAGGAAAGCCCGGCTCTATGGCGCAAGCCTGAAATCTCATTGACTCCGGAGGTTGAGACAGGAGAATTGCAAGTTAAAGGCCCACCTCAGCAACTTAGTGAGACCTTGTCTAACAATAAAAAGGCTGGGAGATGGAGCCCAGTGGTAAAGCTCCCCTGAGTTAAATCCCCAGTACTGAAAAAAGTAAATAGGCAAGAAACCGTAAGGCATAAGGGAGACAGAAGAGATAAGGTGGAAAAGAGGATGTAGAATACCAAGAAACTTAGAACTTAGGATAGTAATTTGCATTTTATCCTGAGAACCATCAAGAGAGTTTTGAGCAAAGGAGTGATAGGACATTCCCCGTACCCCCTCACCCCCATATTGCAATTGAACCCAGGGTGCTCTACCTCTGAGCTACATGCTCAGGCTTTTTTTCCTCCTAGCCCTTTCTATTTTTGTGGTGCTGGAGATTGAACTCAGGGGCATCTTACCACTAAAGTACATCCTCAGCCTTTTTATTTTGAGATAGGATTTCACTGATTTGCCCAGGCTGGTCTCTAATTTGTGATCCTCTGGCTTCAGCCTCCCCTATAGCTGGGACTAAAGGCTTGTGCCATCCAAGTGTAGTTCTTTCTTTTTTTTTCTTGTGTGTGTGTGTGTGTGTGCTGGGGATTGAACCCCAAGGAAGCAAGCATCTACAATTGAGCCACATCCCCAGCAAGCCTGGCTCATTCCTAAAAGATTATACAGTAAAAACTTGTGGAATGAATAAATGAAATCTCCAAGGTGAGCCCCTGAACGATAGAAACAGACATACAACATCTTCCTCAGTTGAGAAACATTTATTTGGATAAGAAAGGCAGCACATGAGCCTTGGGCTGCAGCTGGCCTGGCTCTTAGGCCTGAGACTCTGCAGCTTGCCTAGGTTGGGAAGAACACTTTCTCTTGCTGAGGTTGGTGAGGATCTGGTCCTGGCTGGGCCGGTGTTGAACCACGAAGCTGTCTGAAGGAATGATGGGACCTCTGTTCTCATCCACTTGGCCCATAATCAGATAATTGAGTCCTGGGGGAAGAAGGATGAGATTGAGAACTCACATTGCTGATACCTTGTCAGGGTGTATTCTCAAGATTCCATGCCTATCATTTTAATGTGGCTAAGTGCCCCCTTTCCCATTCCCATCTCTGTTACCTTTCTTCATGAGGGGGCATGGCCTGCAGGGCACGTAAAACTTCAGGGGGGTGTCAGTGGGCGGAGAGGGCAGGTCTAGTCCTCCAGTTTTATAAGCACCAATGAGACTGACAGTGACAGTGAGACCCTCTCCTGGGCCCCGAACCATGGACTTCACTGTTGCAGTCACCACTGTGGGAGAATGGGAGTGAGAGATGAGAAGACAGGAGGCCAGGGCAGGTGTGAAACCAGAAGAGGACTATAGTTAGAGGAGCTGGAAGGGCAGGGGAGGGAGATGGGTCTTCTTACCAAGATCACTGGCACAGAAGTTGCTCTGCAGTGTGCCTGTCCTCCGGCATTGCTTTGGGCAAGGGACACTGGGTGTATCTAGGAGGGAGGGGTACTGTTTGTGGAAGGTGACCTACCCAGCAAGTATGGAAGGACCACTTTTCCCCATAACAGTCGCATAGGTTTGAACCCCTTCAGAGCTCTCTTCACCTTTGGTTCCCAGCACCAATACCAGCCATTGGCAGGAAGGAGGCTCTAGTGAGTGCTGAATAAACAAGCCAAAGAAGAACTATCCCCTCCCCGAGCTGGTAATGGGGATTGACCCCAGGGGTGCTACATCCCCAGCCCTTTTTATTTTTGAGACAGGGTCTCATTAAATTGTCAAGGCTGGCCTGGAACTTGGCATTCTTCTTGCCTCATCCTCCTTAGTCGCTGGGATTAGTCAGGATTACAGATGTATATCATAGGTCAGCTAAGGAAGAACTTTTTGAAACAGTTCTGTTCAGTTCATATCCTCTTCTTCACCCTTCCTAGACTCACCAGGGCCCAGTGGAGTTGCTTGGGCTTCAGGTAAGACCTCTGGCTTCTCTCCAGGCTGGAGTTTGGGCTTGGTGGGTGGCTTGACTTTGGGCCTAGCTCCAGGTTTTGGGCCAGGGCCTAGAGATGGGGGACCTGGCCTGGTGTCCTTCCCTGGGTTTGGGGCTGGCCCCTTTTCAGCAGTGCCTCGTGGCACGGTCCTGTAGGAGGCTGAGAAGCCGTCGGCGGTGACACTGAGATCTGAGACGAACTGGACCAGAAGCTCATTACCTTCTGAGGAGATGGGGCTGCGGGCAATGGGCCATCAGGAGGTATTAGAGCAGGCTGTGCACCCCTCTCCCTCCCAGTCTGGTGGTCTTTTGATCTCTGCTCCTCAGTTGTCTGCATTAGTTTCCTGACTTCACAGAATCTCCATTCATCTCCTAGTCTCTGGATCCACAGACCCCAGACCAAGCCTCCTCCTTGTCCACTACTTGTTCTTTGCTCTGGTTTGGAGCCCAGGAGCTCAGATCCCATCCCTCAGCCGAGTTCCATCCCTCAAAGCCCTGGCCAAGCCAAGCTGACTCACCCAGAGAAGCGACTCTCACCCAGTGAAGTGAAGATGCCCTGGCCACCGCCCACCTAGGTTCTGCCCCCTCACCCAGGGGATGTGTCGCCGCAGAACTTTCCCAGCCTCTTGGCATCATCATTCACTGCTCCGTTGAACACGCTGACCGAGTCATAGCGGCAGTAGGTGTCTGGCTCCAGGTCAAACTTCCCAAAGGTCAGCGTGATCACCTGGTGGAGGTGAAGGCTGCACTGGGGGACCACTCCTGGTGCCTCCCAGGTGCTTGCTGGAGTCTTATCCACTCCCTGCAGCCCTCTGAGCCCCTCCCTTAAGGCATTCTCACTGCTGCTCCTGCTTGGAAGGTCATGCACTCCCATAGTACCCTGCAGGAGTGTCCATCACCTGCTCACTAGGGAGAGACTCCCACCTGCATAGCACTACACAGTTTGCTAACACCTTGTACCTAGCTCTCCTCCTAAGACTTGTCACAGTTTGTAATTTTAGCTTTTGTTTGAATGCAAGCAGGGTCTGGGTCTGGTTTTGATCCCCAGTTTAGGGCTCCAGACAGAATGTTAAATAAATCTTCACTGGCTGGATGTTGGAGGATGCTGCCTGGGTCCCCTTGGGCAGCTGGGACTAGGATGCAGTACCTGGTCTGGGGGTGCGATGATGTGCCAGGAACAGCTGATGCCCGGGGGGTAATCAGACTCTGGCCAATTGGGCGTGGTCAAGGTTCCCTGTTCCTTCTCCATCCGCCCCCCACAAAACTGGTGCTCTGGGGAGGGGAGAGAGGGGCGGGGGTGGGGGGCGGTGGAAACCCTCGGTCAGCTCCAGAAGAGCTCTAGGCTGGGAGCCGGCAGGCAGCTGGGATGTCTGGGTCTCAGGATGAGTGGACAAGAATCAGGGCAGGAGAGAGGGGGGAGGTTAGCAGAGAGGGGCTTGGAGGAGCAGGACAGTCTTGGGCCACAGGGCCCTGGAGGCGGGCAGGAACTGGCTGGATGTGCTCCCTTCTTGCCCCTCCCCTACCCACTGCCACACCGTGCCTCTTCCCCTGGGAGATCCCATCTCCCCGACCCGGCAGAAGAGTCCCCTCTGCAGGCTGGAGAGCCCCCACGCTTTGAGGGTGCCCTCTACTTGGCCTCTTTGTGGAGGTTCCTGCCTGAAACATTTCCAGGGAATTTCTGCTGCCAGGAGGGGGTGATGGGACCGCAATCGGGAGCCCAGGGCTGGGTGTAGGGAACTCCAGGTCGGGGGAACCTAGTCCCCCAGCCCTGGGATGCCCCCTCGCGCCCGTCTGAAGGAGCCCGATTGCGGACGGGGGGCGGGCAGTTACTCACCGTCCCAGTAACCCCAGGCCGCCCATTCCACCCGCGGGTCCATGACCCATTTCCGCCTCGAGCCTGGGGGGGGGCCTGGAAGAGGGGTGGTGGGAGTGGGAGGGGGGAGAGAAGACCGGGAGGAGGGACTGAAGGGGCAGTTAGTGAGGAGAAAGGGCAAGAGAGTACTGGTGGCCCTTGGCTCAAGGCGCAGGGTCCTCTGGGGGTTGAGGTTAGGGCTGGGGCGGGACCTGCACAGGGCGGGGCCAGGAGGGGGAGGCGGAGGTGAGGGAGGCTCACCGGTGCCGGAGGTGGCCCGCCCGCTGTACCAGAGCAGGAAGCCTCGTCCTCCTGTGCCCTCGTCGGCTGTCATCCTCAGGGTGACCTGGTTGCCGGGGGCGACTAGGGGCGCTGGCCTGAAGGTCCCGCAGAAGCGTCCAAGCCGCTGGCCAGAGGTTCCAGATCCAGCAAAGACTTCCAGAGCATCATAACGGCAGGAGGGGTGCAGCTCCAGGTCGAAGACTCGGAAGGAGAGAGACACAGTCTGGCCCTCAGGGACCTGATGGTGGCGCCAGAGGCAGGGGACCCACAGAGTCAGACTACACACAACCCTGACAGAGGGCATCTCTCCTTCCACAAGCATCTTCTATTGAAATGGCCTGGACTAGAAGGGACCTCATTCAGGTGCAGAGCAAAGGGTCTGGGCTCTGCAATAGCCTATGGTCTCAGGAGATATTAGCAAAGACAGAAAGGAAGTTGGGAGTAGGGAATCAGGATTGGAGATATGAATTAAGAATTAATTAATTCTGGGGCTGTAGCTCAGAGGCAGAGCACTTGTCTAGCACATGTGAGGAACCACATGTGCTTAGCATCACATTAAACAACAACAAAAAAGATGGCATGCTGTTTATCTACAACTAAAATAAAGTGCAGGGCACTTGTTATTGTAAGGACTAGATGCCCTCAGTGAGCAGAGGGAGAGCAGCGCTGGGAAGGTGGTGCTTGGCAGGGGGCACTCCTTGCCTGGGAGACTTTGATAAGGGGACAGTGATCAGAAGGGCTTTCTCACCGTTATTGTCCAGATGCACTCCTTATTGGGGGGGTAGAGGTTAGGAAAGCCCTCACTTGCCACGTAACCCGACTCCCCAGTCACATCCCCTCCGCACAGGAACACAGGTCTGGAGAACAGAAGAGGTGTCAGGAGTGGGAAGTAGTTGAGATAGGGATGGGTTAATGATGGGAGGATGGGTGATGAAGGAGGCCAAAGGGACCCTGAGGAAGCCTCAGCAGGCTGACTTGCTACTCCAGATTCCTGCAGACAGGAGAAAAAAGTGGGAACAGCAACTGGACCATCCCTCCAACCCCCCAGAGGCCCCACCCCCACCCCAACAGGAATTCCCGGAATCCTTCTCAGCCTCCCTTCCTCACTACTCTCCCCCCTTACCCTGCCTGGCAATCCGGGACAGGAGCCGCCTAACTACTTCCAGATGTGGACAAGCCACGAGGCTGTAGGGGGGAGGGGGCGGAGAGATGCCGGGAGTGGCAGCAGGCAAAGGCCCTCCAGTTGGACCTGGAGACCAGGCTCCCTGTGCTCCCACCTTTGCCCTGCTCCTGTCCTGCTGGCTAGAAGTATCTGACACCCAAGTCTCTGCTCATTACCCCCCTCAACCCCCCACAATCTGATTCCTTTCTGGAATCCAGATGTCAGCTACCAGGCAAGTTGGGGTCTTGGCTCTGACTTCAAGCTTCATGGGGGGCCATGGGTCTGGCTGGTGGGGGAGACTTAGGAGGGTGAAGGAGTGGAAGACTGCTCCTGCAGCAGAGGGGAAGGACTTAGGCATAGGGTGGTGATGGTGGGAAACCTGGGGGGCTGTTAGCAGAAGAACCCAAAAGACTCACAGACATTACCGTGCCTCCGCACCCCCAGAGGAGTCAGGGTTTTGAAGCTCAATCCAGCCATCTGGAAGATGCCGAGACCTACCTGGTGTAGTTGGGGGTCTGGCCCTGGGCAAGAGGCAAGAAGGGCAGCAGAGCCCAGGCCGTAAGGAGGGGCCCCAGAAGGGAGGCTGGGGCAGCAGACAGCATGGTGGGGGGAGTGTGCTGGGGTCCTCAGCCGGAGGCAGCAGCTGAGTTCAGCAGCAGCAGAAGCAGCAACAGCAGCAGCGGCGGCAGCAGGATAATCAGTGCCAGATGAGGCAGCACCGGGTGTGTGGGCGTGGGGACTGGCCAGCAGGGCGGGCGGCAGGAAGGCGGGACAGGGAGACAGCTGGGACAGTGGTGAGTCCTGGGGCCTCTCTAGGTCTAGTACACATCATGACCTAAGGAGGAGGTGGAGCAATGAGGGGCAGAGGGAGTATCATCCATGCATGAAGTAATGTCATCTGGAACCCCACTCTGTCCCGTGTCCGAGTACCTTGTAAGCACAGCTCTGGACCTTCCTGGGGCTCTGTTCCATACTTCCCCACCACACACCCTGCTTCCTCAGAACCCAGATGAGTTCTTCCTGTGTCTTCCACCCAAATAGTTTCTCTAGCCTCTTGGCCACCTTCAGCCCTAGTCAGCTTTCTACCATACATTTCCATGGCCTTCCCTCTATCTCTGGGCCAGACAGGCCAAGGAGGAAGAATTCTGCACACCCATTCTCTCTTCAAATAACTGAGGTACAAGAGAGTTGGCGGCATGGAATGTCCCTCTTACTAAGGAAAGAAGGGAAAGAGTAGTAAGTAAGGCAAAGAAAGGATACAGGAGACCAGACCTGGGAATAAAACAGGAGGGAGAGAGGAGGGGACTGACTTCCTTGGAACTAGAGCCATGGGTAAGGGAGCTTTACAGAGTCAGAAGTGGCCCCTAAGGAAGGAGAAAACACCTGTAGAGAGGATCCAAACTGGGGGACTAAGCAGTGTATGTTGACTGAGTTGTTCCTGAAAGTGGGGCCAGGGGTTCAAAGTCAAAAAGACCTGGTGAAGTCTTGAGAGTAAAGCCAAGGACTCAGGTGCCATCAGCTCTTAAGCAACAGAGCTTGAGCTGCTCCTGCCCTCCTTTATCCACTGGGTGGGCACTGTCCCCATCCTCTGCCCAATCCCCCCCAGGCTCCAGGGTTCCAAACGGGGCCTCGCTTCAGCCTTTTATTCTATTTGTCCATCAAATCTCTTGTCCATGATAGTCAGACTGGAGGCCCCTCCTGGGCAGCCCCCTGAACATTTTACAAAAGAGTTCCCTGCCCTACCCCCTGTGACCCATCCCCACATGCACACAGTGTTCACTGTCACCACTCCATCTCTCCTTAGCCCCTGGCTCGGGGCCAGACTCCCTCCAGGGGTGAGGTTGGGAGAGGGGAATCAGCTCTCAGGGGTTGATGGGCCTGGGCCAACACCACCAGCAGCCCTCTGCAGCATGTCTAGGGCCTCCCAGAAGAAATCCTTCTGTGCGGCCATCAAGGGCATCCAGCCCACGATCTCCTTCATCTTCTCCATGCGGTCCTGTAAGGTGGGGCAACTGTGGATCTGGCTGAGGTACTCCTCACAGGCCCGGGCTGCCCCCCCAGGGTCCTGGGGGCCTCCAGTCCCCAGGCTGGGTTCAGGGCTCCCCACCACCCTGCTGGCTGGCAGGTCCCTATAGGCAGGGTAGTGCTCGATGTCATAGCTAGACAGCATGTAGAGGCACTCTCTGGTGGAGCAGAGGGAACAGGCACACAAAGGAACCTAGGAGGAAAGAAGGGGTGTGGGGTTATGCTCCTGGCTCCTAGAAAGCTGGGCTAATCCACTGTTATATTCACCCTCTCAGACCAGCCCTGAGCCAGCAAGTGAGCTACAGCTGGCTCTCTGCCAAGGTATGCAAGGTTGGACAAGGCCAGCAGGGTCTGCTAAGGGAGAGAGCCATGGAGTGGCTGGAAAGGGAGTTGGAAGGTGCTGAGGAAATGGGACCACTGGGTCCCTGTAGGGGTCCCAGCTATAGTCCTATGGGCTACCTGGCTCTACCTTGCCCCCGCTGGTTGCCCGTTGCCTCACTCTGCTCTGACCTTGACGTGGAGCTTGACGAAGGAGGCACTCCCCTTAGGCCAGCCTGGGAGGCGGCCTCCAGCCCCACAGCCGCAGCCCAGAAGTTCCTTGCTGAAGTCCGAGCCCTGGCTCAGCACCAGGGAATGGTTGAGGCCGCACCACAGGGCAATGGGGCATTGCAGATAATGTACCTAAAGACACATGGCCAGGGTCCTTGATGGGGGAACCTCAGGGGGCTGGGGAGCCCAGATCAGAGAAGGTTAACTAGGAGGCTCAGGGCTGAATGTAATTAAGGGAGGGAAGAAATGGGAGTCTGCTCTCCTCCTCCAAGAGGTCTGCACTGCCAAATGCAGAAAAGCAGTAATCTGTCCCTTCTTGGTACCCCTGTAAGCCTCCAACAATCTAACCATATGGGGTGTCTGGTACTTCTGTGGGTACCTCATCTTTGCTCCCAAGAAAAAAATGCTCTTGTCTGAGGCTGGGGCCTGCTATCTACTCTACTCCCTCATTTTCAGGCCGCAGGTCTGTGCCATCCAGCCTTGTAGCCTCAGCGGGTACTAGCCTTCCTCTTTGAGAGCTCAAGCCTCCTCTCCCTTCCTGGGCAATTCCATATTAGCCCCAAGGAGACATTCCTTCTACTATCCCTCCTGGCCTCTAGCATTTTCATTTGTCCCATCATTATCTTCAAAAGTGGCCACACTATTTTGAAAAAAGACCACCTGATTTCTTTTGCATCGCCCCCCCCCACACACCCAATGCAGAATTGGTTATGAGACCTGTCTGAGGTTGACTGTTCCTGTTCCTTACCATGGCTAGTCTTTCCTGAACCTCCTTTTGATCTGGCTTCTCTCCCTATAACTCTACTGACATGTTCTTTCCAAAGGCATTTAGTCTCCCAGCTGCTAAATCCCAGGACTTCTCATATGTTCATTCTCCTGAGACTATTAGAACTTTAATTCCAAAGACATGAGTAAGTAATTTAGTGTGACTAAAGGAAAAATGACAATGTATTGGCAAGCAAAAATTTTAAAATCACTGGAAATCCCACTACCAACTATTAGCATCTGCTGAATATTCTTCATTTCTGACTGAACAAATACACATAAATTACATATTTTTGAACAAAAATGGGATTGTACTAAATAATCAGTATCATAAAGATTTTATTTTATATGTTTTGTGGCACTTGGGATTGAAACCAGGGCCTACACATGCTAGATAAGTGCTTTACCACTGAGCTATATCTCCAGCCCTTTCTATTTTGAGACAGGGTCTCACTGAATTTCCCCTGCTATCCTTGAGCTTGTTATCCTCCTGCCTCAGCCTCATGGTATTACAGGTTATGTGTCACCACACCCAACTCTTCAGGTTTTTTTTCTACCTAAAAATATGGAACAACCATCTTTCCATGTCAGTAATGGAAAGTTCCTATATTGCCACACTGTGACCATTACCACCCTTCTCATGTACTTCATTTGAAAAGAAACTTTCTGCTCTCATGACTTTTGGAGTGTGGCATTAGAGGGGCATGCCTCCTGTTCTTTTCTTCATTTCCCTGCCTATCATTGTGATTACTGCCCACATTTGCTTTTGTCATTTCAACCTTGTTTCAATGTGGAATCTTATAGCCAGCTAGATGTTTCCAACTTAATACTTTCCTCTCACAGAAAAAAGCTAAATTCACACTCTTTCCTCAAAGCAGTAATCAGTTTCAAGGGCCTGTTTATTTCTTCTAAAACATCTCCTATACCCACCCATTCCTTTTCATTTTTACTGCCACGTACCAGCCAGCCCAGGTCCTTGTCTCAGGCGCTGTTTTCCCTTACCAGCTTTCTGGGAGGCTGCCTGCTCTGGAGCTCCATTGCACTATGGTCAGCTGACCAGTTTGGTCACCCCTTGGCCACCTTGGCGGCCACCTTCTGTTCCAGAACCTGCGATGATTCTTTCCCATGTCTACCAGGCTTGCAACTATACTGATACCACCTCATATTCTCACTGATTTCCAACATACCCTCCCTTTAATCAGGCCAATCTTTCAATGGTCTCAGGTATGTGCAAGATTCAACCCTGTCCCCATCCTCAGAACAAAAACTACCTTTCCTATCCCCACCTGAACCCTATTCTAACCCATAAGACCCTGCTGGCATCTCACTTCTTCTAGTTACCCTAGCCTACCCAGGTCCCCCAGTCCACACCTTCACCAAATTCCCATTACAGCGACAGCACGCACCACACAGAATGGACATCCTAGTACCAACCCTGGTTAAGCTTACGCAACAATATCACAGGAATTACCCTAATGATTGGCTTAACTTTCATGGGGAGGAGAAAGTGAATTCTGTGGAAATTGGAGAGGTGGATAGAAGCAGGAAATTGGAGGAAGAGAGTTGGGGTGAAAACTACTGGGGAACAATCTTACCTGTGTGGGTTCCCCTCGATCCATTTTGTCCCCTGTTCCCAATTGCCCATATCTGTTATTTCCCTGCATAAAGATTCGGCCAAATTCATCCACCAGGCCAAGGTGATTGTAGCCAAGAGCACAGAATAGGATCTAGGATATAAGAGAAAAAGAGCAGGTGGACCTTGGGCTCCCTCCAGAGGAACCATGAGCTCAACTGCTAACCTGCCATCCCCCAAGCTCATCTCTTTTGCCTTGCCCTCTATGTTACCCCACTCCTTGAGTCCCCTGCCCCTCTCTGATCAATCATTTAATTTCGGTCCATATTTCAGGCCCTTGGTGTCTTCCAATCCCTAAAGCCCCATCCCTCTGGTCTGCCCCATCCCTCCAGATCCTACCTTGGCAGGCAGTGAGAGAGCGAGTGGCATCTGCTGGTCCAAGGGGTCAAAGGCTTGAAGGGTCCCAAAGAGATCACGATACACCCCTGGGGTATGCACCTCAAAATACACTCCCCCCTGGTCTGGGGGGTCGGGAGCCCTCAGCTCAGCAGCTTTGGGCACCCGTTTCCTAGGGATAAGCCCCCACCTGGGATGAAAACTGCAAGATCCAGGGAGTCTCATACCCGCTAGAAATGCATCAGCTCTGATGCCTGGGAACCTAGACATATCTTTTCACTAGGATGCCCTAAGGGGTTTATGTCACAGAGCTGGAATAAGGGTTAGGGGTGTCAGCACTTGGAAGGGCTATTAAAGGTTGGGATCTTGAAAGGAAGTGAGATGCTTCTTACCCGTGATGTAGAGGGTACTGCTCTGGTTGGAAGCCATGCAGGTCACACGCAGGTGAGGCAGGCAACGGGACACTTTCCTGAGGGCCAGCTGAACTGTGTAGGAGCGTGGCTGGTCCAGCTGGGTCTCATTCACTACCAAAGAGTAGATCTTTCCTTCCTCTGGGGAATGAGGGTAGTCATACAATTATGTGGGGGAGGGGGCATATCAATATCCAAATCAATGCTCAATGGACTCCTTAAGCCATGCAGGGTGAAACATTTACTGCCCTAGAATGGGGTTGGAGAAAAAAAGATAGACATGGGGTTGTGGCTCAGTAGTACAGCGCTCACCTAGCATGGGCAAGGCCCTGGGTTTGATCCTCAACACCACATAAAAAAATAATAAATAAACATAAATAAATACTGTGTGTATATATATATATATATATATATATATACACACACACACACACACACACACACATGACACAAAATAAAGGAAGAGAGGCCTCAAGTCCCTCAGGCACCAATTGCAAAAATACATCAGGAAGTGGTTCAGCATGAGAGATGGGGAGAAAACGTAAGCGTTAGATATGGCAGAATCTAATTTGTTAGGAAGAATGAAGTCTGGGGACTTAGGGCCCTGCCTGGCATTCAGAAGTCCACAGGAATTCAGACTTGAGGGTGTGGTCAAGCATAAAGGACACTGGGAAGTAGAGGACAGCTTGGTGTATTAAAGTGAGGTCCCTGGCATGGAGGTTGGGGAGATTAGAATCTTAAAAATTAGGCATTCATGGGCTGGGGATGTGGCTCAAGCGGTAGCGCGCTCGCCTGGTATGCGTGCGACCCGGGTTCGATCCTCAGCACCACATACCAACAAAGATGTTGTGTCTGCCGAGAACTGAAAAATAAATATTAAAAAAAAAATTCTCTCTCTCTCTCCCCTCTCTCTCTTAAAAAAAAAAATTAGGGGGCTGGGGATGTGGCTCAGACGGCAGCATGCTCGCCTGGCATGCATGCTGCCCGGGTTCGATCCTCAGCACCACATACAAACAAAGATGTTGTATCTGCCAAAAACTGAAAAATAAATATTGAAATTCTCATTCTCTCTCTCTCTTTCTCTCTCTCTCTCTCTCTCTCTCTAAAAAAAAAAAAAAAAAATTAGGCATTCACTAGAGCAGTGGTTTCTGGACTTTTTTTTTTTTTTGGCAGCAGGGCCCTTTATTCGTATAAAATAGGATGTAGAGTTCTAGACTGGGAGTGAGATAAAAGCGAAGCTATTTGGATTGAGAACCAGAACAGGTAGCATGTGGATCCTGAGAGGCCTCATCCCTTTCCCCTGCAGCAGGTCTTGAAGGACATATTTACTAAACATTGCTTCAGGCCATACCTGTGAGGAGCAATAGAGCCCGTTGGGTCTCCTGACCAACCAGCACAATCTGTTTGAAGCTCATGGAGTGGTGGAATGTCATCTTGAAGACCCGCTGCCCGCTGGACTGCAGATAGACCTCCACGCAGTCACAGGCCCGGCTGCTGGTTGTGCCTACCACTCCTGGCTGCTCCCGAGTGGCCAAGACATAGAGGTATTTACGGTAAACTGTGTCACATCTTGGGTCTGAGGCAAACTGTGGAGATAGATGAGGGATCTATGGCCTGGGAAAGGGATGGGGCTGGAGCAAGTGAATCCTGGGGTGGGAGCAGAGGTATTTGCATCCAGGTTTGGGAAATAAAGACTTGTTTTCAGGTTCTTGGTAAGAAAGGGTCAGTGTCCTAACAAGGGCACCCTAGGACTGGGACCTCAGGGCTCTGGAGGTGGGGGTGGGTTCTTAGCTGCCACAGTTCTGCTACTCACATCCTTGGCTCCACGACATAATACAACATAGCGGCAGGCCCGCTTCCACTGGATCTGGCCAAGGGTAGAGGAGACCAGTGCGTTTTTAAGGAAGAAGAGGGTCCCCACGTAGTCGAGAATGAAGACATGATCCTTGGTGGGCAAAAAACGGCGGTAGCCATGGGCTAGAAGGGGGGCCACACTCTTGCTGAGACATCGGCGGCGGCCACCAAATGCCTGAAAATACAGGCCCTTCGTGTCTGGAGAAGGGAAGTACATAGAAGGTTAAAGAGTGTCACTGACACAATGTGGATGGGTCAGAACACAATGTGGTTGGGTAAACTAGATCTCTCAGACATCTTAATATTTAGCTTTTCCTCATCCCTAGGTCTGGGGAACAGGTTCCTTTCCAAAGGAGACCTGGAAAGCTTAGATTATACCCCATATCTTCCCCGCCTCAGCCCAGGGTCAGACACATGCTTTTAAATAGGCACCTCTTTGGTCTGACCTTGCATCAGAGTCATCAAGGAAACATAAGAACAAATCCACAGAAATGAGGCAGAAAGAGAAGTGAAAAGGAATGACCAAGAAAGGCCAGTAACCTTCCCTCACCCCCAGCTGTGGATCTGTTTTCTGGATCAGTCTTCTCCCCTAATCTCCCTGTGTGTGAAAGAAGTAATTGGATAGGGGCTCTCTGGAGTGGCAGGGGTTTACAGTATGGTTCTCAAGCTAGGGGTGATTTTGTCCCTTGGAAGACATTGGTTGGTACAACTAGGGGAGTTGCAACTGGAACCTAGTGGGTAGAGGCCAGAGCTGCCCCTAACATCCCCACAGTGCACAGGAGCCCCACAATGAATTACTTCACCCAAACTGTCAATGGTGACAAGGTTCAGAATCCTTGGTTTAGAAAAGGAAAACTCCAGGTTTGGGGAATAGATTTAAAGAGCTGGTGTATGGAGGGAGACTTGGCAGGGATGCTAATGGAGGCAGTGGGAGGGAAGGACTATGTATATATTGGAGGGTGGCCTCAGAGCCTTATAGGAAACTCAATGGACTATGTTTGTATCTGATAAGTTTCTTCCAGAGAAAAGGGCTGGGAGGTTGACAGGGAGTGCAGAGGTCAGCAGGCAACTTTACAGAGCAGGAGGTTTCCCAGAATAAGAAAGGACAGAAGCAAGGAGGGAGGTAGGTGCTGGGGAAGGTGTACAGTTAAGAATGGCAGCTCTCTTCCAGGGCCGGACCCCAGAACCCTGCTCTCGAAGGCGTGGACTGAGCCTGCGGCAGATGCGTCTCCACACTCCTTCAGCATCGCACACTTCATGGAAGTAGTGGCAGGTCTGGCCTAGGGCGACTACATCTCTGACTGGGAGGAATGAGATGATATGCTCCACCTGGAGGCAGCAGGGAGGAAGTGGAGGTCACTGGGAGCCCCTAGTGGCCTGGCCCCCAGTCCTTCATTCTCAATACTTCAGCTCCTAAGACTCACCAGCTCTGGGGGAAACAACTGAACAGAAATAGGATTCCCTCTTCCCTTCTTCTCTTCACCTCCTGGCTCTGGGCCACAAGAAGGACAGCTCCGCTTCACCTGCAGAGGGAAAGGGGAAGTATGGGGGGTCCTGTGAGGGCCCCACCTCTTTTTCTCCCTGCTCTTGACCTGTCTTTCATAAATTCCTGTTGGGGCTCATCTGACTCCAGCTCTGTGCTGTCAAATCCTCCCATCTCTCTCCAGGTCCCTGGGCCAACCCTCCCTGTCCGCTTTGTTCCTTGACATAACCCATCCCCAGATCTCTTGCTGCCATCATCTCCCTGCCCTTCCCTTGCCTTGCCACCCCCTCACCCTGAGCCCCTCCTCCCGTCCGCACAGCCCGGTCAATTTTTGCAGCTTTTGTCTCCGGCTTCTCCTCACCATCCTGCCTGTCCCCTCCCTGCTCCTGCCCTCATCTCTCCGGGCCCCTTGGCCCCCCGTACTCAGCTCCCTGGCCCCTGTCCTGGCTGCCTTTCCCACACCATGTCCCCTGCCTGGGCTTGGGGGACCTCTGGGGCCCCTCTACCTCCTAGGCCCCTCCCCCATGGAGTCTGGGACAAACAAACCTCTCTATGACCTCACTGTCCAGCCACTGTGACCTGTTTGCTTTAACCTGGACCACGGACCTGGCTCCTGGGTTCTAGATCAGCTCTAGCTACTGGAATGCTTATGAGCTTTGCATTTTACTAGACAAATAAAGTGCAAACTACTGGTAGATGAGGCCTTGACTTTCAGGGAATAGTAGGAGATTTTCCATATTTCATATTTTCCATCAGTGTTTCCTAACACTGATGAATCCTCCATATCTCAGCAGGCTGGGGCCTCCAGGCACTTCAGTTTAAGAGTATAAACTCAGAAAAGGAAAAAAAAAAAAAAAAAGGAAAAAAAGTATAAACTCAATTTTATAGGTGAGGAGGAAAGAGGACTCTGCTCTGACTACTTTGCTCACAAAGGCACATAGCAGATGAATGTGGGAACAATTTGGCACAAACTTACAATCTTAAGAAAACACATTCAAAAGCAGATTGCTTTCTGGAGGACCAGTAACATCACTGCAGGTACAAAGGGACAGGCTATTAAGGTGGGAAATATGGATGGATTTGCTCTGAAAGCTTAGAATCTATCTCCCAGAGCCTAGGTGATTGGCTTCTTCTATGGGGGTGACATTTAGGAGAAATAGCAGGAGTTAAGGTTGTATCTGACCAGGTAGGGGCAGAAGATCTGCAACAACAAATCCAAGGAGTAGCTGGCTCTTCCAGGGACTCAGTCCTGTTAGACAACCAACCTGCACAGCACCAAATTATAGATCCATTCTTTGACTAGCTAACCAACAGATTGTTCACCACCCACTCCAACTTCCTTATTTATAGTAACTAGCAAATTGCTCCTTTGGGGCACCTAAGAAGAAATTTTAACAATTTAATAAACATTTAGGCCTATCAACATCTGAGATGTGACTTAGGAGAAAGCAACTTCAGTTATTGGTGATCAGGCAACCAGCAGCATACGAAGTGGACTCTATGAGGGTCTTATGGGGCTGCAAAGGGTGGTATGACTTTCAAGGGGACAGAACAAGCACTTTCTGCATTTGGTTCCCTTTCTTCATTTCATTCTGAGAAGTAAACAAGAGATTTCGAGCAGACACTGTCCACTCTAAACACAGAGGAAGTGAGGAAGGACCCCACGTAGAGGACTGAGACCTAGTTTGGGGTGCCAGCAGTCAGGGTCCTGCTGTTTGCTCTTGCTAACTCATCAACTTCTCTCTGCCTCAGTTTCCTCATCCGTAAAACGAAGGTCTTGTTCTACACCAAGAGGTCCTTTCTAGCCTCTAAAATCCTTAGGACGGGTGGTCACCATTCCTGCCCAGGGAAGCTTCTCTGGTGAAGCTCGCAGGCCAGGACATTCCCCCTCCGTGAGCTGGGGGTCTATAGGCTCAGGGAAGCCGCCGCCCTCTGCCCAGGGATGAGGGGAGTCAGTCCTCAGACTCCTCAGGCGGAAATAGCCCTGGGGCCTCCACAGCTGAGACCAAAGCCTGTGAGCTGGCCTCAGGTTCTCATCGGCCTCTCTCACGCCCTCGACGCCAGCTAGCTTCCTAACATGTCCAACTTATATACACTATCCAGCCCCTGCACTGCGGTCCCATCCGGCCCAGCGCCCGGCGCTCACTTTCTTTACCTCAGTCTCAAAGTTCTAGCTCACCCGCCTCCTTCTTAGCGAAGGGACCGCCTTCTCGCCCATGCTATTGGTAGGTAGAGCCGTCCCTCAGAGAAGAGGCCGGGCCAGGTTCCCTCCGGAGGCGCTAATTGGCCTTCTTGACAGTCACTCGCCTGTATCTGCTTGCGATTGGCCTTCGTTAGAAGAGGACCACGTGCCTCCGGCTTGTGGTCTCAGTCTCTATCTCTCTTAGTAGAGTACCGGTGTCCCCGCCTCCTGGTAGGACCTGATTGGCTCCATCTCCAGTTCTGAGCATTGTGATTGGATGCGGCTGCGCGGGGTGGGCCGGCCCGGAGCGTCGGCCGTTGGCGAGCGCTCCATTCTCTCCCCCTCCCTCCCCTCTCCCGGCTCCTGAGCCGGAGGCTCCACCCCCCGGGCGGGTTCTGATTAGTGGCCTCCGACGCTTCTTCGGACCACGATTGGTCCGCCGAGTCCCTGACCCCGTTTCCTCCCCCTTGAGGCGACTACGGCGGCTCCAAGGAGGGGGAGGGGGAAGGAGGGACGGCCGGTCCCGTCAGTCAGGCAGCGGGAGCCGCCGGGAGCGGATGGCGGCGGCTGTAGCGGCCCCTCTCGCCGCCGGGGGTGAGGAGTCGGCAGCCACGATCCCCGTGCCAGGGTCTCCGGGTCTGCCCGGGAGCCGCAGCGCAGAGCGGGCCCTAGAGGAGGCCGTGGCCACCGGGACCCTTAACTTGTCTAATCGGCGCTTGAAGCACTTCCCCCGGGGCGCGGCCCGCAGCTACGACCTGTCAGACATCACCCAGGCTGGTGAGTGCGCCCGGCCCAGGGTCTCACTGCGACCCTCATTTGCATAGCCCCGCCCCCTCTTGTTCCCCCTCCCCGCTTGCGAGTTTGACCCGCCCCTTCACCTGGCGGTGGGGGTGCACGCCCCTCCTGATTGGCATAAGGCTGCGACCACCCCCTCCCTGCTGTAAGAACCACTGGACAATGAGCGCACTTCTAGTTTACACAGAACACCCAGAGTCTCTGGCGGAGCATTATGAGACACTTCCCCTCTTATTTGCATATTGCGCACCTGTAGAGTGGTCCCGCCCCTCACCTGGTTGGCTCATTTGCATGGCCTCTTCAACCTTAGTTCCATAAAGCAGCCCCCATGGGCTTTTCTAACTACACCTTTCTCTCCCTTCTCGTTGTCTCCAACTCCTTCCCCGTTCCACCGAGATCCGAGCAGCCCCGGGCACCCGTTTCCCATGGATCGCTTCTAACAACGGGATGTTTTTGCTTTCTTTGCCGTAGTCCCGCCCTCTAAAGTCCCAGACCCTCTCTACTCTTCACCTAGCCAGCCTATGGGAAAGAAGCAAATCTGCCTCCCTTAACTCTTCTCCCTATGCTCTTCCGCTCATTATCCCTGAACCCCTTATTTGAGACTCACTCTCTTTCCTGTGTCTATGAAGTCACTTTGGAGCCTGTGACCTCATAGGGATCCTAGAATTCCCTTTTCAATTTCTGCTTTTCCTCCGCGAAGGACTTGAGGCAGTTGCCAAAAGGAAATATATCTCCTAGCCGGGAGTGCTGGGCCTCTGGAGACTCCTCTTTCACGTTCCGCCTTCAGAATCCCTCTAATCATGCTGTCTGCATCCTAGTGTCTGTTGAAGGTGGCTGGTGGGGGGTTCTACTTTGACAGGTGAGTCAGGCCTCAGCTGCTCAGGAGGCAACCTATGACCTTGGGCTGGCAGCTAGGGGTGGGGATCAGCAGAGAGGAGGATTGCATTCCCCAGCTCCACCCTAGCCTAGGCTGGGGTGTGAGGAACCTCCTCCACTTTTTGTTATCTTCAAGGCCAGGGCTCTGGGGCTGGATGAAAGAGTGCATTTTTCTTCAAGCAGGTGACTGACCACCTGTAAACACTCAGGCTGGCCCAAGCACACACTCCCTCTACTGTTTTGGGGAGAACCAATTTAAACCTCTTTGCTTTTCTTGTTCACTATGCTGTGAGTTCAGGAAATGGGTGAGCCCCACAAGCCATTCCTATCCTTCCCAGGCCCCCCTCCAACCCTCAAGCTCCAGATTGACCTCAGCAGCTGTGTGACACTTGCTGTCTGTTCCCTTTCCCCTCCCCGTTGCTTGTTTTTTGACAAAGACCAAATGTTATTCTGTACTTTCATGGGGCTCTGTCTCAGTGAGTGGACTCTTGGGGAAAACTACCAAGAACTCCAGGGCCCCTCCCAACTTCTGCCCCCTCTCAGCCTCCTCCCCCAGCATTCCGGCTCAGGGTGCAGCTTGTGTAGTGAAGCGGAAAATCCCAGCTTCCTTAGAACCCCTGTGTGCCCTTCTCGGTCCTTTCAGGGCCGGGTTCTAGACCAGGTAGGTTCCATCTCATCCAGATCTCTCTCTTCTGTCCCCTTTCCCCAAATGGAGTGCTCCTAGCCTGGTGTGGAAAGGGGAAGTGACAAAAACACAGAGTTGCCCTTACCCTGCCCTCCGCATCTCCTTGCTCTCTAACTCAGACATACTGCTTCAGCAGTCTGCTGCCAAGTCATTCTGAACTCTCTCCTGCTGTTCGTCTTCCCTGAATGTTTCCTATGCTTAGGTCCCTGAAACCCCATGGACTGTTCCCTGGGCCAAATAGTCCTAAGGTGGGGGAGGAAGGGCTGTTCAAGCAAAGGAGAAGTGTCGCTCATTCTCTCATAGACCACATCCTGTGCCCCCTGGGCCCTGCCTCCTCCAGCCTGGGCTCCCTTCCGTTCCTAGCTTACCCCATCAGAACTTGGTCTCCACCCACTTCATCCACATGCACACACACAAAATACATTTGTAGACACAGAGGAAGCAGGCAGGTGTTGAGTGCGGTTGGGAGAACAGATGCTGTCCTCCCACCCTCTCCGGAACCGTCTTATTTAGTGCTAGGTCTTCTGTCTGTGCACCGGGGCTGGAGCAGAGCAGGAGAGGGAGTGATTCTTGGGACATCAGGCTGTCCTCACTCTAGCAAACAGAGCCTACCAGAAACAATCTGATGGATAATTTCCACTTGATTTCCTGTCACAAGACTCATTTCCTTGGGGAATATGTCCTAGCTTCTCCACACCCCCTCTGCTTTTGCTCCCTCCCTGGTCCCCCTCACACCACCAGAGGGCCCTCAAAGAAGTTCTGTTGCCTGGGACTTCCCCAGCAGGCCTGGGCCCCTCCCAGTGGAGACTGGGCTGAGCAAACAGACACTGACATATATAGGTCTATGCAGCCAGTGTCTCCAGTCTGAAGGGCATCTCCAGTCCTGCCTCCTGGCACTGCCATGGCAAGATACTGCTTGAGATAGAGTGGGTAACAGCTCCTTCCCTCCTCTCACCTCCTCTTCCCCTTCTGTCCCCATACTCCTTGACATGCTTGAGATAACATACAAAGGAGCCCGAACTCTTGAGGGGAAGTAGAGGAAGACCAGTGGCCTAGAAGAGGGTGAAAAGGAGGCCAACCCTGGGGCAGGGGAGCCTAGAGGGGAAGGACCTGAGGATACTGGCTCTCTGTTCATCTCAGCCTTCTCCCTTTGCCTCTCTGTCCTTGGGAGTATGGAACTTCATAATCCTTTGGTTCTGGGGCTAGTGAAAAACAAACAAAAACTTGTATCTAGTGCTAGGGCCTTTCTTAATCTCTAAAACCAGGATATAGTGACCCCTGGTTCTCCGTGTATTGAAAACAGATTGAGGTTGAAGGAGGACTCTGCTAGGAGTCCCCAGGTATTTTTCATATTCTCTCTCTGAGCTTTCCAGCCTGTCATTTTACTGTTTCTTTACTTCTTTCTTTCTTTACTTTTTGGTGCTGGGACTTGAACCCAAGGCCTTGTGTATGCTAGCCACATGCTTTATGCCTTAGCTCCCACCTTACTGTTTTCTTGGGACCATAATCCTCTCCTGTGACCTTTTGCCTTCTATCTCTCCTGGCATCTCAGAACATAAGGGACTGTAAGAGTTACAAAATCCAGCCACCCTTCCAGGAGAGCTCTTCATCTGGAGATTGGTGTATCTCTATCCTGCCCCAAATCTGGGCTTCTCCAGCCTGGTGACCCTAAGGTCTTTGCCTTCCCTTTGCCTTTCTGGTCATGCTTGGTGTATACTCCAGTTTGCAGAAGGCTTTGTTGTCTCTCCAGAAGCCCAGGTTTATGGGCTTGATTCTTTAGGTCTTCTGGGGATGGAGAGCAGTATGTCTGATCCAGAGGACATTCAAAGTACCCCTGTGCAGGACTGGCCTTTCCACAGCTCTCCCCTGGCACTTGATTTCCCCAGACCTGTCCCGGAACCGGTTTCCCGAGGTGCCTGAGGCAGCATGCCAGCTGGTGTCTCTGGAGGGTCTGAGCCTCTACCACAATTGCCTGAGATGCCTGAACCCAGCCTTGGGGAATCTCACAGCCCTTACCTACCTCAACCTCAGGTAGGAAGGCAGCTGGTCTTTATTGGCTTAAAGAACCAGTGCTTAGTACCCTGAATGACCCTTCCTGTCCCTGAAAAGTGGGCAGTGCTGGGATGCTGTGACTGGGGAGTGAGCCTTCTTCTTTTCTCCCTTCACAGTCGAAACCAGCTGTCATCGCTGCCACCATACATCTGCCAGCTGCCCTTGCGAGTGCTTATTGTCAGCAACAACAAGCTGGGAGCCCTGCCTCCCGACATTGGCACCTTGGGAAGCCTGCGACAGCTTGTGAGGATGGGAAACAGGGCTAGAAGAGGGACTGTAGAGCCAGGCACTAGAGATCTTTGGGGGAGAATCTGGGGAAAGCAGGAAGTATCTTTGAGGAAAGGCTTGGACTAAAGGCCAGTAGCCTGGAAAGACAAGAGGACAGTTTCTGATGATCCTAGTCTTATGACCCCTTCCCAGCTACTTTCTTGATTTCAGGATGTAAGCAGCAATGAGCTGCAATCCCTTCCTGTGGAGCTGTGTAGCCTTCGTTCCCTGCGGGATCTCAATGTTCGAAGGAATCAGCTAAGCACCCTGCCTGATGGTAAGGAAAATGAAGAATTGGATGAGGGGCATGCATGTGTGTGTGTTCATCATCTCAGGCTGCTGCAACAAAGATACCATAGACTGGGTGGCTTATAAACAACAGAAACTTATTTCTCAGTTTGGAAGCTAGGAGACCAAGATTAGGGTACCCGTGTGGTCAGGTTCTGGTGAGAGCCCTCTTCTTATTGCCAAGTTTTCTGGGACTGCCAACTTTTAATTGTGGAAGGCAGGAAGGAGAACTGTCTGAGGTCTCTTTTATAAGAGCACTAATCCATTCTTGAGGGCTCTACCCTCATGACCTCCATTGCCACCCAAGTGACCCACACCATTCATTTCAACATGAATTTGGGGGAAACAAGAATTCAGTCTGAAATAATGCATCTACTTTGAAGAAGTCACAGGCAAGAAATGTTTGAAGAAGAATCATGTCTTAGTTGTACTGGGTTTTACAGTATTTAAAGCAAACTGTAAATGGTTTTATTTGCTATGTTCAAGCAACCCTCTGAGGCTGGTAAAGCATGGATTACAATCTCTGTTTTACAAATACGGGAACAGGCACAGAAAGGAGAGTAAGTGAGTGGGTTAGCTCCACGTAAAATCTCAAGGTTAGAAGGGGCCTTCACAGTCACCCAGTATCACCATTAACCCTACCTTGCTCTGCACTTCCTCCCCAGGGCTCTGAATTAGAAGTCATGCTAAGCGGCCCCATTCTAGCCAGCTAATTGTGACACAACAACATTTGATAGCCTCTGCTTGGGAGAAGGCACACCTTCTTTTATTTGGCAGCACTGTTTTTGTGTGTGTGTGTGTGTGTGTGTGCGCGCGCACGCTTGCTTCCTGCATTTTACATAAAAGGCAGGTAGATGTGAGAGTCAAATAAATGTGGGTGATGTGATTAAGATCTGAGCCAACAATCAAGGGCTTAATGGTTTAATGGGGAAATTTATAGAGAACCATTAGAGCAGGATGCTGAGCCCTGGGAGCTAGAGGGGTGGCAGGGCTCTGCTTGGGAAACCTGAGGAGGACTTCTCCCCAGAAGCTCTGGCATAGCATAAACTGACCTTGGAAGGAGAATTCTCCATCCTTTATCCATGCAGAGGAACCACCATGTGCAAGGGTTGGAGATGGGAAGGAGCATCCTCCAGCAGGGAAGTGGTTGTAGTTAGAAGGGCAAGCCAGGCCAAGGCAGGAAGGGTATGAACTTGGTTTTGAAGAACAAGAGGGGAGTCAGATGATTATTCATTTTCTTTGCCTTCCCCACCCTTTCCTGTACCTTCTCTCTTATAAGTCAGTAGGCATCTTGAACCATATTCTGTTTCTGTAGCAAAATATCTGAAACCAAGTAATTTGTGAAGAACAGCAGTTTAGACAGGTGCACTGTTGCATGACTATAATCCCAGTAACTTGGGAGGCTGAGGCAGGAGGATCACAAGTTAGAACTCAGCCTCAGTAATTTAGTGAGACCCTCAGTAACTTGGTTAGACTCTCTATCAAAAAAATAAAAAGGACTGGGGATGCAGCTCAGTGGTAAAAGCACCCCTATGTTCAATCTCCAGTACCCACTCTGCCCTTAAAAAAAAGAATAACAGTTTTTGGCCTATGGTTCTAGAGGTTGGGAAGTCCAAGAGCAGAGCACCAGCATCTGCTCAGCAACTGGCAAGGCCCTTGTGCTGCATCACGTGGCAAGACAGCAAGCAAGCCAGAGAGAGCGTGCTTTTATAACAAAACCACTCCCTCAATAACCCATTAATCCATTAATCCATCAATGGATTAGTCCATTCATGAGGACAGAACTCCCATGACCTAGTCACCTCCTGCAGGTTCTACCTCCAAACACCATTACATATGAATTTGGAGATTAGTTTCCAACTCATGAAATTTAGGGGACACATTCAACCCATAGCAGTAGGTGTACAAATAAACATTTGTTCAGGGCTTTCCCTGGGCCATAAAAAGAGATCCAAGCAAAATGTCTTGGGAACACACAGAAAGAGCAATGAATTCCATGACTCTGAGGTGTCTAGAAAGATTCATGGACCCTTAAGGTGAACCTTGAAAGATACATAGACTTGGATGATGGAGTTGCATGTTTATTCTCAGCTGAGTGTAGAGGATGTGGAAAGGCCCAGAAACTGAGAATCCAGATGGGCGGGCAGCAAAGTAGAAAATGGGAGTGCAGGGGGATCACGAAAGCCTTGGTCACGCTTGGATAGGGGCTGTGCTTTTCTATTCTGTGTCTAGGGCTGCCATAAATCCAGACTTTGTATTTTTGAGAAATAACAAAAGTCACCATCTCTGTGGACAGACTGAGCCTTGCCCAAGTTGCAGGTCCTGGTAGCACAGGGAGATGAGGCTGCAGCCAGTGGATGCTCTTGGGGAGGGCACAGCTCAGGCAGCCTTAGTAGTCCTGACTGCATGGCACAGGAAGATTTTGAGCAGTGGGCATCACATGTCTTATGCGGATCACTTGAGAATGAGGGATCAGTTGCAGTATTGATAGACAGGTGAGGGCTGGGCGGGAACTCAAGTCTAGATAGGCCTTGTAGGGACCAGATGTGAATAAGAAGAGGACCAGGAAGATTGCTTCTGGGGATTGACCTGAGCCAGCTAGGGCAGAGGCTGTGATGGAGTCAGGGGTGACCAACCCACCAGAACAGAGGGTGAGGAAGGGAGCACAAGGTCCCAGGCTCGGTCTGCTGCTGACTCTTCCCTCACCCACCCCCAGAGCTGGGGGACCTTCCTCTGGTCCGCCTGGATTTCTCCTGTAACCGTGTCTCCCACATCCCGGTCTCCTTCTGCCGCCTCAGGCACCTGCAGGTCATTCTGTTGGACAGCAACCCCCTGCAATGCCCGCCTGCTCAGGTGAGGTGCTGGGTGGACCCTGGGGACAGGGATGAAGTTAGGCAGGAGTGGGGCCGTTACTGTGGTACCTTTGGTAGCCAGATCTGGAAAGCTGCTTTTCCCCCTCACTCTCCTTCCTGCGCCTCCTTACGCAGATCTGCCTGAAGGGGAAGCTTCACATCTTTAAGTACTTATCAACAGAGGCTGCGCGTCGTGGGGCTGCCCTGGGGGACCTGGTCCCTTCCCGCCCCCCAAGTTTTAGTCCCTGGTAAGTCCCAGTGGGAAGGAAGGAAGCCCTTGCATTTTCATGCCCCCTCCTGGCCCCAGAGACCCCCTCATTTCCTGTAGGAGGATGTGGGTGCTGTCAGCATGGGGCTGACCAGGTCTCCCTGGCTGGCCCCAGCCCTGCTGAGGATTTATTCCCGGGACGGCGGTACGATGGTGGGCTGGACTCAGGCTTCCACAGCGTTGACAGCGGCAGCAAGAGGTGGTCTGGTAATGAGGTAAGGCTCTTTTCCAAGGGTGATTGGTGGTGGCAGCCCTGGGAGAGAACCTCTGCACTGGGGGGCATTTTGCCTCATACCTCTGGCTCTCAGAGTGACAGGCAGTGGCTAGAGCTCTTCCTTCCGTCTGTCCACCATCCCAGACCCTACTCTCAGTCTCTCACAAGACCCCCTGTGAATCCCCAGCACTGCAGAGAGCCCACCTCCCATATGTGCTTCTGCCTTTACAGTCAACAGATGAATTTTCAGAGCTGTCATTCCGGATCTCAGAGCTGGCCCGGGAACCTCGGGCCCCCAAAGAACGGAGAGAAGATGGCTCTGGTGAGTAGTGGAGTGGGGCCAGGGAGGCACAGGGAGGACGAGGGCCCAAAGGCCCTCATCTGCTTGCTGACTGATGTTTTCTTCCCCTCCAGCTGATGGAGACCCAGAGCAGGTTGACTTCATTGATAGCCATGTCCCTGGAGAAGATGAAGAGCGAGGTGCTGCTGAGGTGAGGACCAGCCATGCCCCTCCTCCAGGAGGGGAGCTGGAGGGAGGGAGGTGGTGCAGTCTCTGGGGACCAGGGATTCCTTCAGCTTTACTGTGTTCTCTTTTCAGGAACAGCGGCCACCACCTGAATTAAGCCCTGCGGCAGGGGATGGGGAGAGGGCACTGAGCAGCAGGTAGCCCAGCTCCTAGCCCACATTGCCCTATATTGCAGTCCCTGGGCCCCTCCCCTTTCCCTGACTGCCAGTATTTCTTTCTTGCTTTGTCTTCATCCTTAGGCGGGAGGAACCGGCAGGGGAGGAACGGCGGCGCCCTGACACTTTGCAGTTGTGGCAGGAACGTGAACGGAGGCAGCAGCAGCAGCAACAGCAGAGTGGGGGATGGAGTGCCCCCAGGAAGGACAGGTGTGGGTTTAGGACAGACTGGAGCTATTGCTGGACAGTGGTCTGGGACACAGGGTGGACACAGGCACCTCCTGAGCTGCTCTGCCCCTCAGGTCCGTGGGGTGCCTGGCACAGCTGACCCCCCCCCCAATCTTCTTCCAGTTTCCTGAAGCTGGGGATCAGGGCTGCTGGGGGAGGTGCTGCTGCCTCATCCACTCAGGCTACCTACAAGTAGGTTTCGTCCCTGTGACCTCTGCCCACAAACCTTTTCCTTGATCCTCCCCTTTAATTCCCTTTCTGTCTCTCAGCGGGCTGCCTAAGTCTAATACCATAGAACCACAACCGGGAACTTCAGGGGGGCAGGGAGTCCCTGTGCCTGCCCCTCCCCCCCAGGAGTCCCTGCCTATGACTGGACCAGGTAGGACAGAGACTTTGGGAAGAGATGGGGGTGATTGGGACCTGGTGTCCTGAGGGAAGAGTGGGACACTGAGGGTATATCTTTCTCACCTGTCCTTCTCCCTGACTTTGGCCCCCAGCGACAGCACCTGTTCCCCGGCCACTAGGCTCCATTCAGAGACCAAACAGTTTCCTCTTCCGTTCCTCCTCTCAGAGTGGTTCAGGTGGGTCTCCCCGTTCTCCCCAGTACTGCCTACCTTCAGCAAGCCCTGACCATGAGACTAGTGCCACACACTGGTCTGCAAGCTTTCTGGGTCTGTTGTCCCTTTGTGTTGAAAATCCCACAAGCAGAGAGACAAGAAGTGTGGGTGCCGGACACTGACAGCTGGTTGCAGTCAATGGTGTGTAGTGGAGACAGCCCATGCCTTCCTCTTCTTAGGCCCATCCTCCCCAGACTCTGTTTTGAGACCTCGGCCAGCACCCCAGGTTCCAGATGAGAAGGAATTAGTATCTCAAGTGCGCCAGGTAAGCAGAGGTAGAACCTTCAGGGGCTGGGCCTGGGCTCAGCATGGTGACTCCTCCAGCTTCTTCCCTCCCTCAACACCCTTTCTCACCCTGGCCCTCCTGTGAGGTAGAAGAGGGGAACTTGTGCATTCCCTATTGACTGACCCCATCTGCTTCTCTCTCCCTTACTCCCAGGTCCTTGAGTCACGGCTGCAGCAGCCCTTGCCTGAGGACCTGGGTGAGGCTCTGGCCAATGGGGTCATCCTCTGTCAGCTGGCCAATCAGCTACGGCCTCGCTCTGTGCCCTTCATTCATGTACCCTCACCTGCTGTGGTCAGTTGGGGTGCAGGGAGGAAATAGGGGATGGGTCAGGGACTTCTGTGGCCTCTCCCTTACTCTCTTTTCTTTCTTTACCCATCCTCAGCCAAAGCTCAGTGCTCTCAAGTCTCGGAAGAATGTGGAGAGTTTCTTAGAAGCCTGTCGAAAAATGGGGGTACCTGAGGTATGTATGGGGGCTATTGTCTGCTGTAGAGGGTGGCAGTGTCCTGGGCTCAGCTGGTCACATTGCATGGATGGCAGGGTTCTGTTCACAGGGGTGTCTGCTCCTAGAGGAAGCATATCACATGCCACCACCCGCACGTCTCCCTGCCCTGCATGTCTGCATGTTGGCATGGCTCTGGCCTTGGCATGTGAGGGCAGGGGTGGGAAGGACTGGCTGCTGCTGCTGACATCTGTCCTTTGTCCTTGTCCATCTGCCCTACCTTCCCTTCCCAGGCTGACCTGTGCTCGCCCTCGGATCTCCTCCAGGGCACCACCCAGGGGCTGTGGACCACATTAGAGGCTGTGAAGCGGGTGGGGGGCAAGGCCCCCCCGCCTGTCTGGCCCCCCTCTGGTCTGGGTGGCTTCGTCTTCTTCTACGTCGTCCTCATGCTGCTGCTCTGTGTCGTCTACACCTGGCTCCTGGGTTCCTAGGACTGAAGTCACCCCCCATTTCTATTTATAAGACTCCTATTCAACCCCATCCCCACCAGTGGTGCCTTCAGCCCCTACCAAAGACACTAGTGTACCCCCATCACAAACACTGACCTCAGAGGCCCCACTCTGGTGTCCCCAGAGCTGGGCCCCCTGCCTCTAGGCCCCCTCCTGTAGCCCCTCACTCACTGCCCCTCACCCTCAGTGCTGATGGTGCCTTCCTGTCCTTTTCCCACCCAGCCAGGCCCCGCCCTCTGACCCCCCACCCCCGGAGGGGCGGGAGCTTGGTTCTTCCTTCCCCTTCTTTCTTCTCCCCCCCCACTAGCTGCTATGGGGGGCTAAATTATCTCTATTTTGTAGAGAGAACTCTATATTTGTAGCAGATGTGGGGCCCAGGCTGGGTCCCTGGCTCTGTGTATAAACTGTACAGACTGTGGCTGCCTGTGTGTTTGCATTTGCTCCTCCTGTGGCCAGGCCCAGTCCTGGTGGAGCCCCTTGGGCTCCATGTGCCAGCTTGCCTGTTCCAGCATTTGCCTCTGGAAATGACAGGTCTCCCTTGCCCCCTGAACCTTGTTCCTGTATGTTACCTCCTTTTTGTTACCTGCTGACAGCTTTCATGTGCATCATTTGTCCCCAAGCTGTGGACACAGTGTCTACCAGGATGTCCCCGACCTTCACCTCTTAACACCTTGCCCGGGACAGGGAACCTGAGTGGAGGGGGTACCAGGGGGAAATTAACCTGGGCCCCTCCCCCCAGGAGTCCCTGTGCCAGCCCCACCACATCCTGGAAGAGGAGGTGGCCCCTGGAAGGGGTCTCCCCCACATCGCTGCTGTCCTCCACGCACTGCTGGAACGGCCTTAGGGGTGGAGGTAGGGGTGCAGGGCCACCTGACCCCGGAACCGAAGACCTCACTAACAAGGACTTGGTGAGGGTGGCCTCCGGCCTGACCCTGGGCCTGGGGCTCCCCTGTGCCCTGGAGCCTCCTGCAGCTGAGGGTCTGGATGGAAGGCCCGATATGATGTTGTGAGCGCAATAAAGAGAAGCTGGAAGCCCCCTAGGTTGGCCCTCTGGTGTGAGTGTGTCTGTCAGGGAGCGGCGGGAACTTGGACGCCCTTCTTCACAGGGCAAGCGGGGCCTGAAGTGCCCTCCTGAGCGCGCCCATGCGGGGCACCGGGCAGGGTCGGGCTGGTGGGCCCCGCCGCCAGGGGGCGCCGGTGGAGCTCGGCGGGAGCGCGCGCCACGTGGTAGGGAGACGGCGCTGGCGTCGGGCGAGGCATCGCGGCGAGGCCTCGGAAGTGGGCCGTGGACCTAGGCTTGTGCACACGGCCCGGCTGTAGGTTGAGGGAGGCCAAGCGGGGCCCGCGGGAAGCGGACGTGGGGGCACAGCGGCGCTGCCCCGCGCTCCCCCAGACGCAGCATGTTGCCCTGGCCGCCTCAGCCATGGGGCACAGGCAAGGAGGAGTTGCAGGAGGAACCAGGCCCCTTGGCGGGCAGTGACCAAGGGGAGGCCTGGAGCTCTGGAGAGGAAGCTCCGGGGGAGCCAGGAGCACCCACACAGGACAGGTGAGGGGCTTGGCTGGGGCCCCTGGTGGGGCAAACAACAGGGGACCCTCCGCCTTTGTGTAAGTTCAGTCTCTCCCCTGGGATCAGGCACACTTGGCCTTGCCACTAAGCCCAAGGAAGTGTTTGGAAAGGGGACGGTGAGTGAAACATCTTGTTCTCTTCCCCAGCCAGCAGCCCCAGGCCCTGGGTCCTTCCTGGAGTGGGAGAGAGCAGCAGCTGGCCCGCCACCCCCAGGCCAGGCTACCCAGCAGTCCCCAGAAACCCAAGGTAGGCACAGGCCTGGCTACCTCTACCCTCAAGACCAGCTCCCTGACTCTGAGCCTGTTCTAATCTCTTCAATTGGCCCCCCTTCCCACTTTCCCCCCAGGTGGCTTGGGAGGTGGCCCCCTCAAGGATGACCCTGCTGTCACCCTGGGACCCCAACTACGAGGCCAAACCAAGACCTCGGCTGGTGTGGGTGAGTTGGGAGGACTGTGTGGCTCTGGCTCAGGGTGGCAGGATGTCCTGGGAAGGGACTGAGGCTCCAGTGACTTTCCTGCTCCACAGGGATCCAGCTGTGGGTCAGGTGCCTCCTTCTCAGGCCGGACACTGTGTCATCCCTCCTTCTGGCCCATGTACGAGGTCTCAGGCAGGGCTGCCAGGCCCCTGGCCCCCACTCCAGGGCATCAGAATGAAGAGCAGTCGCCCAGGGATGCAGGTACTTCTCTAGTGCTTTCCGCTCCCGAGGAGTGGTCTAGACTCCACTAGCATCCTGGTGCTGGGTTGGGAGCCCCCTGCTGCCCCCCTAGCAGGCTCTCTTCCTCAGGGCTCCCAGTGATGTGCTGTGAAGATGTCTTTCTTTTGGACCCTCTGCTACCCTGTGGGCAGCGTGTACCCCTGTACCTGTCGGAGCCCCCTCAACAGGTGAGAGTGACTGTCCTCTGACACCCCTCCCCCATTGAGCCTTTCTTTGGAGCCTGAGAGGAAACATTTTCCTTCTCTCTCCTCAGAACATGAGCTCGCTGAAGCTGCTGCTGCCGCCCCCCATAATGTCCCCCTCAGTCTGCCCCTCTGCATCCCAGGGCTGCTCCACTGCTTGGCTCAGTGGGCCGGAACTGATCGCCCTCACTGGCCTGCTGCAGATGAGTCAGGGGGATCCGAGACCCAGCTCCCCACCAGCTTCCCCGATCCCTGCCAGCTGCACAGCCCCTGTTCCTGTTTCTGATCACCCAGGCCCCAGTGGTAGCCAAAGCTGTTCTGGAAACACTGACCCACCACTTCCACAGACCCAAGACACCCATTGTCCATAGCCCCCTGGGGCAGAGTGGGCCTCCCACTTCACCAGGCAGGTTCTGTTGACAATAAAACTGTTGGTTTGCAAAACAAGCTCCCTGTGACAGGTGGCAGAATAGAGGCAGGAGTGGCTCTCATCCTCTACTATGGCATTGACTGTCCTTCCCTCAAATTCTTATCTCTCATTGCCCCATCACCATGGGGCAGGGAAATCCACCAACCTAGGACAGTTACCCAGCAGGGTACCTTTAATAGGTGGGGGATGGTCCACAGTACAGAGTTGGGGATGAACCTATAGGAAGCAAGGACTTGGTCAGCTCTGCTGGCTTGTGCTTGACTGGGAGAGGTGGACTAAGAAGGAGGCTGGGTGTTTTAAGATCCTTCCATTCTTCTTGAGCTAGGGCCTCAGGAATTCACACTAAGGCACCGCAGGTGTGTGCAGGAACACCAAGCCAAACGGGAACCTTCATCTGTGGCCTAAGAGCCCACCTGAGTCTGATTCTCTAGGATCTCTTTAGGGAAACAGGATCAGGATTTCAATTGAGAAAATCCAGAAGTTTATAATTTGGGGAAGAGGTAGGTGTGGGGTTGGGGGGAGGTAGAAGAGGTTCTAGAATTCTCTCCCTTAAAAGAACAGAGCTGGCCAAGGGGCAACCCAGTGCCTCTGCAAGTCTCAGATTGGATGTCAAGACTTTGGCCTTTTAGTCGCGGTAGAGGGTGTTAGAAGGCATCAGCGGGATGGGGGACATTGGTAACTTTGGCGAGTTTCACATTCTTCCGCTGGCCAGTGCCCCCGTCTGCTCACCGGCGCCTCCCAGAGGTTCTAGAACTCGATGCGCGCGTAGCTGTGCGGGCCGGCCCTTGGGCCGTGGCCACGAGCGTCTAGAGGAGGGACCAGGTCCAGGTCGACATAATTGAGGTAGCCATCGGAGGGCGCCAGCCTAGCAGTGTCCTTTTCTACCAAGTCTGGAGCCCCATACTTAATGCACACGTACTCCCCAGCCAGCTTTGACGGCGGCAGAGAGCAGGGCCGAGCACCTGCAGGTCCCCAGCCGTCCCTTTTGCTGCTATGCTCTGGAGCAGGCTTCTGGGCCTTGGACTTGTAGGAAAAGCACTCTGGTGGAAAGCTCTTCATGGGCACGTACTCCGTGCCTCCCCAATCTGGAAGGGTCTGGTGGGCAGTATTGCTTTCAGGGAGAGGAAGACCTGAGGGCCCCATTACCACATAGCCGTCTGCCTCTCTAACCCCCTTGTGCTCATAGTCACTCCTGGCTCCCATAGTAATGTAGCTCGCACCCCCATCGGACTCCTTGGGGTACGAAGCTGCCACTCCCAGCCTTGCAAAGGTCTTAAGGGTTGCTTGCTCCATCCTCTCAACCAAGCCTCTTGACTGGGCTGCAGAGGCTGGAGATTCATAAGGTTGGGGGACAGGGGGTCTGGAGATGCTCTTTGGAGGATCCCTGGACGGTGGCTCAGGCCTGCCACTGGCACCACTGCCTCCGAGTCTCTTCATAGCGGCCAGGACTGTCTCGTGGATGCTTTGGGCCACTACAGAATCGGGTGCCTCCAGCCACAGTTCCCCGGGACCTGTGGGCGCCGAGCGGCCAAGCTCCAGGAAGAAGAAAGAGTCTGCGTGGCCGCAGCGGCGCACGCTGAGCAGGGACAGACGCAGGGCGGGTGGCGACAATGCCTGGGTGTCCCGGGGTCCTCTGCCCCCTGGCTTCCGCAGTAGGCTCAGGGACCCGGAACCCAGGCATAGGCGGTAGTCGCCGCTGCCCAGGCCTCGTGTTCGCCCCAGACCCTTGGGCCGCAGCGTCACAGGCCAGACGTCCTGGAAAGGAGCGAGGATGGAGGCCCCGGGGTCTTCGTGGGAGCTGGGACCTGGAAGGACAACGGGCTGATCACAGGGGATTCCTTGGGCGGGAGGTTGGAGTCACCGTCCCCGGAGAATTGGAGACGTGTAAACGCTTAATATTTGAACTTTTGGGAGTTGACCTGTGAGGGGGACAGGTTTCGGATAAACCAGGTCTGCAACCCCACCGCCCTAACCCTCCTGATGGCCCGGGGCTTGACAGCCCGTGTTCTAGCCTCACCGGTGGCGGCGGCGGTGGCGGCGGTGGCGGCGGCGGCGGCGGCGCGCACCTCGAGCATGGCATTGTACCACACCTGTTGCTCCGCCTCGCTGGCGGCTGCGACGCCCAGGCTGCTGTCGTGCGTGTAGAGAACGATCAAGTGGCGCTGGCGCGCGTCCGCGCGCTTGCTGATGGTGCACGCGCCCGCCAGGCTCACGCTGCGCCGGGGCCGCGCCCCGCCGCTACAGCCGGAGCGGAACTTCTTCTCACTCTCATAGCACTCGAGGCGCGGCGGGTCCTCCCGCAGCACGAAGAACCGGCGGCGCTGGGACTTCTGCTTCCGTAGGTGGCCGCAGAGCCGCACGTCTGCCGGACAGGGCCAGGGCAGCGGCGGGCAGAGGGGCACGTCCGCTGACTCCAACTCCTGGGTGGCTGTGGGGTCGCCGCCTGCGGCGTCCATCCCGGGCCACAGGCAATAAAGTGGGCCGGGGAATAGCCGATCCGCTGGGTCTCGTTCCCTGGACCGCTGGGAAAGGCCAGCAGAAGTGGGGTTGAAGTGTCAGGTCCAGGAGGGAGAGCAGCGACCCCACAGGCTGCGACCGTCTAGGTGCCGGCGACTCTCCCCGGCTCTCTAAAGTTTGGGACACACACACAGCGTGTGACTCAGTGGCCGCCCAGTAGCCTGTGACACCCAGAGCTCCCTAGGGCCTCCGCGGTTGACCCAGCTGGGTCCCGTCCCTCCCGCCCTACGCCGACCGCTGCCGGAATCCCCACCCACTCGAGGTTTACCCTCGCTCACCCGGGCGCAGGAGTTGGAGTCTGCAAGTGGAGACAAGGGTCCTGCGCCCCTGGGGACGATGCCTTAGCAGGGGCGGGGACTGTGCGGACGTCTCCGCCAATCAACTGACCAGTTGTGGGGGCGGAGAAGGGCAGCGCCTGCTGCAGGCAGGAGCTACGCGAAAGCAATGTGTGAGGCGGGTGTGATTGGACTTCGCGGTGATGGCGCTAGCGATTAGAGGGTGGCCAAGAGGGCCATCCTTACAGCAGCCTCCCCTCCGCCCTTAATTACTCCACTGGACCACTAGGCGTCGGTCTCCTGTGTACACTCTTCCCATTCAGATGATTTTGTGCTTTTCCCTGCAAATCGCCCCGACAGCCATGGCTGCTGAGCTGTGGGCTGGTCTGATTTCTGAGTTGCAGGTTCAGTTTGTCTGTGGGTTTGGGGTGACAGGAGGTGTCTTAGGATAGGTAGACTTCTGGACTGGTCTTTGTGCACAGATCATACCCCCCAGAATCCCTAAGTAGCCACGGAAGGACCTGCAGAGAAAGAGGCCATCTCTCAGGGACACCTCCATGCTGCTCCATTGCTTTCAGCCCCCTCCTCACCATCACACCCCAAAAATGCTACCCGGACCAGCTGAAGACACTGCTCACAGAAATGTGGGCTCCCTGGTGCATGTCCTCTTTGCCCTTTGCATACTGAGAAGTTTGACTGGGGCTGGAGGGTTGGACATTTTTGTGCCTCAATTCTGCTCTCAGGACCACTGCACAGTTCAGGGGAAGGATAGTGCTGGCCAGTGCACACCTTCAGACAAGCCCAGGTGACATATAAAGTCTCATAAGGATGGGGCCTTATCAGACTTCAGTGGAGTATATGATCTCATTCCCGTGGGCAAGCAATATTACTGCAGGGGAAAACTGAGGGCCTGATGGGGAAGAGGTCAAGCTGTGGCTTCTGTTAAAGAAGGTATTGGGCTGGGAGTGGTGGCACAGGCCTGTAATCCCAGCATCTCTGGAGGCTGAGGCAGGAGGATTGCAAGTTCAAAGCCAAATCTGGCAACTTAGTGAGACCCTGTCTCAAAATAAAAAGGGCTGGGGATGTGGCTGTGACTCAGTAGTTGAATGCCCCTGGGTTCAATCCCCAGTACCAGAAAAAGAGAAAAGGTATTGAGAAAGGGCTCCCTCAGATAGAGAACAGAAACAAGGGAACCTGGTTCTTAAAGGCAGCCTGAGCAGAAGAGGGCAGGGCTTCCTGAAAATGGGGCCCTTTTCCGAGCTGAATACTGGAGAAGACAGCCTGCCATGTGTGGTACTGGGATCCCTTAGCACCTTTCCTTTTTTTGGGGGGTGGGTACCGGGGGATTGAACTCAAGGGCACTCGGACACTGAGCCATATCCCCAGCCCTGTATTATATTTTTTAAAAATATATTTTTTAGTTGTAGATGGATACAATACCATTATTTATTTATTTTTATTTGGTGCTGAGGATTGAACCCAGTGCCTCACATGTGCTAGGCAAGTGCTCTACCACTTACCTATAACCCCTGCCCCCCTATTTTGTATTTTATTTAGACACAGGGTTTCACTGTGTTGTTCAGTACAACTTGCTTTGAACTCATGAAACTTCTGCCTCAGCTTCCCAAGCTGCTGGGATTACAGGCATATGCCATCACATCTGGCCCTTGAGCACTTTTTCAAAGGCCGTGCTGAGAGCAAGATGCAGGGATTTCCAAGGATGGGTGGATGGGCATCTGGCAAGGTGTGCAGGGTCTGCTCAGGTGTCTGTTGGTCAGCCAAAATCCCATCCAGGGTCAGGAAACTTCTTTGCAGATTAGCTGGTGTGGTGGGAGGCAGTGGCCACTGCCCAGTGGTGGATACTGGCCAAGGAGAGGCAAGTATGGGATGGATCCCTTAGTAGCCACACAAACAGGACTACTTTAAAGGCCAAGAGGCTTGATGTGGGCACCATGTGAGAAGTGACAGGGTCACAAAAGATGTCTACACACCCCTCCCCTTCCCAGTCTTGCTGCCACCCATGCCCCTGCTGTGCTGCTGGCCTGGGAACCCGGACTCCCCTAAGCTTGCTGCAAACCTATCCAAGGAGGCTCTCTTCATGCCTTCTTCCGGTCTCCCTCAACCAGGTCATCTTGCAACACCTGTCCTTGTGAAATCACAGTGACTGTCACACAGACAGCCCCAAACCACATTGTGTCATTGAGCCCTGGAGTGCCGGGTAAAGATAACACAGGAAGCAGCAGCAATCCGAGAGCCTGGAGAGTGGGCAAGCAATGGTGGGAGGTCAGGGGAGGTAGTCAATGCCAGTGAGCTGGCCTGCTGGGTACCAGGAAAAGCCTGGAATCCACCTGGTCTACAACAGTTGTCCTAGCAACAACACTGCCCTAGCCCTGTTTCTCCCCAGGGACAGAAGTGGCAGAACCTCAGCTCCACCAGGAGTACCCCTCCCAACCTGAGGGTTCTACCTTTGTATCCTCATCCAGGTACCATGTTCCACACCAGTGGAAGAATCTTGTTACTAGGGGGAGGAAGCCAATGGGAAGAGTTCCATGTGGGGTCTTTCTCTTCTGTGAACATGAGTGCCATAGATTTAGCGCCTCCCTCCCACCTTTTGGGTCCCCAGGTGGAGAGAATCCTGGGGGCTGTCCCATGCACCCTCTCCCATAGGGACTGCCTACAGGTAACCCACTGAAGACTGGGTCCAAACCAGAGGACTGTAGGGCAGGGGCACAGTGTTGGCCAGGGGCATGTGTCAAGGGGAGGACTTTGCTAGAAGGTAGAGGAGCTGGTGTGTCACTCCAGCCTCCTGCCTATGCATAGAGGGTTTAGATTTGCAGCTGCCAGGCAAGGCTGTGCAGGGAGGAATTTAGCCCAGTCATTTCAGACATTTTTTGTCAGGCCAGGGTTCTTTCCATGCTTTGTCATTGGCCTGTAGAAGGAGGCTGCATGGAGGAGGGCTGGGGCTGCTCATGCCAAGGGAGGCAGCTGCACTCCTAGCCTCAGCCTGTGCCTAAACGTTTTGATTTTTCTGCCCTGGGCTGTAGGGCTGATCTGGCCCTGGACAGTGAGCTAGAGTCCATGTCAGACAGAGGGACTGGAGGGACCAGAGGGCTGCAGGGAGGCCCAGAACCCATGCAGCAAGAAGGCAGTAAGAAAATCCCTGGGAGACAGCATGGTGTGCCTGAAACGCAGATGGAAGGCCATTTAGCTCTCTTCAAACCTCAGTGTTTTTTTTGGAGCTAGGAAAGGGTGACTGAAGCTAAGGGGAAAATAAGCTCCAGATTTTAGCTTCTCTCTCTTGGCCCTAAGCAGAAAGAATGAATGGGAAACAGCAGTAGGGAGGACAGAGTGATAAACAAGTGGTAGAGAAAAATACTGGGAGAGCAGGAAGAGATAATTTCCATGGGAAGTAAAGGATGGGTACACCTGGGAGACCCCCAACAAGAGAGAGGAGGGGAGAGGCTGGGTGAGTGGGGACATAGACTCATGCGGGGTGGAAATTGACTTTTGGAAAAAGGAGAAGGCCAAGCCTGGCTGGGCAAACAGCAGCAACTAGAGGTCTTTCCAGCAAATTCTGCAAAGCAAATAAACTGATGACCCAATCCCTACATTTCCTTGTTGCTGTCAGTGGAAGACCCATAGCAATCCCAAGAATGACAGCTCGAGGGCTGTTCCAGGGCAATGGTATGAGGGGAGGGGCCTTTCCTGGCCTTGGGTTAAAAACAGCAAGGCGAGTCCTAGGCCTCAGCCTCAGAGGTGTTTACCCAGTGACTGTCTTGTCACCACATAAACAGTCCAGACACCTGGCTGTTGACACAACAGCTTGGGGTAGAAACATCTAGTGGAGGCTGATAACAGTTGGGGGTGGAGAGGGAGGCTGATGTATTCGTTGGGTCCACTTCCGTCTCCAAGTTGCAGCTGCCTCTTCTGGTGGGAACTGCCCCTTCACTACATCCAACAAAGCCCAATGTCTGCAGGGGTTGTCCCCGGACTCCTGATATGCTCCTTCCCCTTGCTAACACAGGACTCAGACAGGGACTGGCTCTATCCAGTCATGAGTCCTGTCATCCGTTAACACAGCCTGGTCATCAGCCCAGGCAGTCCAGACCGGTGGAGCCAAGTCAAGAATCAGTCAGTTGGCTGACCTGTGATCCCTCAGGCTGGCCCAAAGCAAGACCAGAGAGCCATTTCCTTTACTTTCAAATGCAGTTCTTTCTAACATTGCCTGCAATGAGCTTTGGTGCAGAGATTTGGTAGGGGGTGAGGCATGTGGAAAGAGAAAGGAAAACAAAACAAACAAAAAAACAAGTCCCAGTCAACTGCATGAAGCCTTTCCCTGGAAAAACCCAGGCTCTGGGGTGGTCAGGACACATGGCTGCCCTCCCCCCATTCCCTGGGACCTCAGTGTTGGTGGTCCAGGCACAGATGGGGATTTCTCCCACTCCCCATGTTAAAGAGCTGTCTGGGAGAGGCAGCACGGCTGGGTGTGTGTCTATGTATGTGCATATATATGTGTACATATATTTATATATATAATAGGCTATATTAGAAAATTCTCTCTATGTATAAATATAAAACACTGGTATCCAAACGTGACACCAACGGCTAACTAAAGTGCTTGACAGAAGTTGGGCATGTGTCAGTATGCAGGTAAAACTAACCTCCTGAGTGCCAGGACTGGATGAGCTGGGGAAGCAAAAAAAGGAAGTGGACAGAAGCAGGTGTGGCCCCGCCAGGGCACCAAGGGCACTGGGCTGTCTGGCCGCCCTCCCATACCATTGCCATGCCTCATCTTTCCCCTGCTTTCCCCACTGCAGTAGTGTCCAGGAGGAGCACAGTGTTGGAGAGCTGGGTATGGCGCAAGTGTGGGTCCTATGGGGAAGGCCATCCAGGCCATGCCCGCGACCTCCTCAGTCTTCAGGGAGCTCCATGTATATGCCAAGGGCAGGGGAGGAGGGTTGTCTTCATAATTAATAATTTGACAAAAACACACCGCCATGGCCGTGGCTCCTCCAGGCCAGCCCTGCCTTCAGTCCTCCTGCTGGGAAGGAGCTGGCAGAGGCAGAAGGGAGGAAGCTTCTGGGTGGCTGACCCAAGACAGATTCATCTGGAAGCCCCAAGCAAAGCATTAGCACCTCCACCTTCCCCAGGGCCCTTGCCCTGCAAACCAGGCCCTTTCTTGTCTCAAATCCATAGAGATGCCCTCAGGCAAGTGGTCACCAGAGCTCTAGGGAGCAGAGGGGCCCCAGGAAGCAGGGAAGAGGGCCCCCAAGACACAGTGCTACAAGAATGGATTTGTGGTTGGAGGTTTGGAGGCAAATGGACTCGATGAGCTTCCAGTCTAAAATGAAAACAACAGAAAGTTATTAGATTAGGGGAGAACAGTTGTCGGCCATAGAAGAAACAGACATATACTTCAGGATCCCTTTCTCTCTTGAAGCTACTGTGCTGAGGAAGGGGAGAGTCAGGGAGAAGGTGCACTAGAGGGGGTAGGGCCCAGAACTGAAGCCCTATAACTGATCTCCTCCCTGGCTTGGGCGACACAGAGTTCCATGAGGAAGGGTGCACAGCTCCTTCTGGAAGGATTCTTTCCCAGCGCCAACTGGGGCACTCACCATGAAGGGGTTGGTAGAGATCCCCGCTGGCTGGCTCAGTGGCCTCTGTCCCAGCTTGGCAGATCCTAAGTCCCCAAAGGAGGAGCCTGATAGGCAAGAGCAGTAACTCATCTGACAAGTCTGGACCCTCATGCTGCCGCCCACTGTCCTGGAGGACAAAGGCTCTATATCCAAGGTGACAGCAAGAGGGGCCCTTCCAGAATTCAGAAATAAAGAACATAAAGAACATAAAGCAGTCAGGGGACAAGGGCTGTTCTGCTGCTCTCCTGGTCCCCCTACTGGTTAAAAAGGAAACTAACGCAGAAGTCTGTGGATGGATATAGTAGATTCTACATCCTCAGATTCAACAAAGATTTTATATATATATATAAAATGTGCATCTTCACTGAATAGGCATAGGCATTTTTAGACTATTATTTCTTAAACTGTAGGGTAAAACAACTGTTTACACAGCATTTACATTGTATTAGGTTTTGTAAGTCATGTAGAAGTTTCATGCAGCTACTGCCCCACTTTATATAAGGGACTTGAGCATCTGTGGATTCTGGCATCTGTAGGTGTGCTGGAACCAACCCCCAAAGACACGAAAGGATTCAGTCCATGAAGAGTAAGCAGCAGGGGGCACAGGAGGGCATATCTGGATTTCTTACCATTTTGCTGCTGAGCCAGTGAGGTTTGCGGGGGAAACAGTGTTGGGGGGAAGGTGCTGGCAAAGGCCCCCGTGGGTGGCACTGGCTGGGGGAAACCAGGCCCAGTACTGCTCATCCCA